GATTGGGGCAGGGAGAAACTTAATGCAGGAAAACTCACTAGCAGACTGTTTCAATAATCCAGGCATAAGATGATGAAGACCTGTAGCAGAATGGTGGCGCCCAGCTTTAGTTTGGTTCAAAATCGTATGTGCACATAGGGCACATAGAAGTGAGTTTCTACATTTGTTTCTGTCCCTTTGCCGTAAATAATAAAATTTCCTAAAACTGACACAAAATCTACAGTTGATTCTCAGTCCAGGACGATTGCATACTTTGTCTCTACCACTACTGATAACTTAGCCAAGTTGGCTTCTCCTCGTTTCCTCCCAAATTTCCCACACCATCTTCTTCTGCTACTCAGTTGGACTGAAAACAGGAGATGCACATTCTAATATCAAACATTTAACCCAGAGAGGGCTCAGGAAGGTAAATCTTTCTGGAGGGAAAGAGGGAGGAAGCCTACCAGAATGACCTTTCGATTAGTCACACTCCCTTGCTCTTCCATCACAGACTCTTAGGAGTAGAAAGGACCTTAGAAACAAATGCCAGGCATTCAGCACCCAAGACTGTCCCTCAGGTTGACGATACATTTGGGGTTGCTTTGTATCAGAGAGTCAGAGAATGGATGACTGGCAAAGGGAGATTATAGACAGAATAAATGTTTATGCAGTTGTGAATAAAATCTATCTTAACATAACAATGTTGTAAATCTGTTCTACCTGGTAATTCTTATTTACATAATTTTAAATTATAACATCTTTTTAAAAACATGTTTGCTATCTCTTTTTTATATACAACCTACATTCTCCAATGTATCCCTCTCTCCTCACTGGAGACAGTTAGACATCTCCTATAACAAAGAATAAAGAAAAAGATGTCCAACAAAACCCAAAACATTGAGAATCTCTGGCATAATGTATAGTGCTCTACAGCCACAGTCAACCCAACTTCTGAAAAGAAGGTGGGCAGGTGCTTTCTTATGTCTTTTTTTTGGGGGGTGTAGGTTTGGTCATTATGATTTCACAGCCTTCAGTTTTGATTGTTTTGCTTTTCTTTCCATTATACTATTTTAGTCATTGTGTGCTGTTTTATTGACTTTGCTTACTCCATTTTGCATCTGTTTTCATCTTCCCAGGCTTCTCTGTATTCATCATATTTGTCTCTTGCAGCAAGCATTGTAATAATAGCCTATTACAGGCATATATCCCAACTGGCTTAGTCATTCCACAGGTTATTCACTTATCCTCCTAGTTCTTTGCTCCTGTAAAGTGTCATTCTAAATATTTTGGTGTATATGAGGACTTTCTTTTTGTCATTGGCCTTTTTGTGGTATATGACAAGGGTCAAAGAGTATGAACATTATAGTCCTTGTCTTGGCATAACTGTAAACTGGCTTCCAGAATGGTTGTACCAATTCATAGCTTCAAAAGATCAGTACTGTCCCTGTCTTTCTGTAGCTCCTCCAACACTAACTGTTCCTATCATTGCCAACTTGTGGAATGTGAGTTAAAACCTCAGGATTACAATGACTTGCATTTCTCTTATTATCAATTATGTGGAGCATCCTTTCATATAGTTATTAATGGTTTGTAGTTCTTTAAAAAAAATTATCCACATCCTTTGACCATTTATCTATTGAGGAATGGTTTTTGGCTTTATGTTTTTGTTGGTTGCCTATACAGGGTATCCTGAAATGCAGTTTTGGGGTTTTGTTTTGATTTGTTTTGTTTTTTTGGCTAGGCAATGGGGTTAAGTGACTTGCCCAAGGTCACACAGCTAATGAGTGTTTTGTGTCTGAGGCCGGATTTGAACTCAGGTCCTCCTAAGTCCAAGGCTGGTGCTCTATCCACTGTACCACCTAGTTGCCCCCCAAAATGCAGTTTTAATGCAGTTTTAAGCTATTGAAGCTTATTTAACAGTTTAATAGTTTAAGCTATTAAAGCTTAAAACTGCACTAAGACTTTTGGGACGCCCTGTAAAATCTTATATTCAACATATCTGATAAGGGTCTGGTAGCTAAATATATATATTGCAATTTTTTAATTTAAGGAGTTACCTTCATAATTATTGAGAATCTGACTCAGAATCTCATGTATACTGTCTTTGCAGGTCCCATTTTTACCTTTCTGAGATGGCCAGATGGTTCAATCTCCATTAGGAAACGTCTGCCACCTTCTCTGTCACCTGGTGGCAGCAACCTTCGTGGTGGCATAAAACAATTAATTTGGAATCCAAGAAGCTTAACTAAGAATGACCTCAAAACTGAAAATAATCTCATGACAGGTGGTAACTCATATGGGGTGGGATTCAGTGAAAATTACATGGAAAATTACTGACCCAAGGAATGAGGGGAATCTGAAAAGAAGATGATAATTTGTGCTTCAAAGGAGAAAAATGTCAGTGAGGAATACCTGAATGAAAACTACATCCTGTCCCACTGGCTGAGGGGCAGAAAAGTGAGAGGTAGCCTCTTTAATGCCGATTCAAGATGGGAGTCAGGAAGTCTGCCAAGGAGGCCAATCTGTTCTCTACACATAGAGGAGCTAATGACCATCAAGGCTGTCTGCCTGTCTCAGACATGACTGAATGCTGGAAAATGAAGAGTCTGGTACCTGCAGGTAGACCCTGGGCCTTGGGCTATATACTGGTATAAGTCCCTAATACTCTCAAAGAGCTCGTTTTTGTTGTGTGAAAGGACTGCCTGGCATAAATCTGAGAAGGGAAATACTCCTTGGTAGCCTCCATATTTGCTAAGATAAAAAATATGGAGTGGGGGAATGAACTTTAAGCTCTATTTTTTTTTTTTTGCTTTTTGGTGAGGCGATTAGGGTTAAGTGATTTGCCCAGGGTCACACAGCTGAGTAAGTGTTAAGTATCTCAGGCTGGATTTGAACTCATGTCCTCCTGACTCCAAGGCCAGAGCTCTATTCACTGCACCACCTAGTTGCCCCAATCTCTACTTTTTTAAACCAATAAGCAAGCATTTATTAAGCACCTACTACTTGAAAGGTACTATATGCAATGTTTCATAGGAAAAAAAAAAAGATCCAATCTAATCTAACCAAGGAGCATTTTTTAAGTACCTACCGTATGTGAAGAGATTGAGATGAGGAAGAAGAACATTCAAGAAACAATCTAGCTAGCACAATGAGGGAAAGCCAGCTGAGGGCAGGCATTCTCTTTTGGTTTTGTCTTTGTCGGTCCAATGTTTGGCTTAGCACACAGTCTCTGGCATATATATTCATATATACTGTACTCAAAGAGATCAAGGATCTCATCATTTTAGGAGTTCCCTCTAATAATAAAGCAGATAACAACCCACTCATGGCTGCCCATCTTATGCTATTCTCACCCACCTTCCAAAAGTTCACCACTAGGGATCCACCCACCTCCCTCACTTTTTGCTAACATAGCGTTGGGTGCCACTGGGGTACTGCGGCTCTCCACCTCTCATCCCTCCCTCTCACCACATCGATCAGTCAATAAACAGTTATTAAACACCTACTGTGAGGCACTGTGCTAAGCCCATCTTCTCTTCCTATCATACTGCGTATTTCTTTCTTTTTTTCACTTAATAGTATTTTTTTGCTCATTTCATGTAAAGATAGTTTTCAACATTTATTTTTGTAAGATTTTGAGTTCTAATGTTTCTCTGTCCCTACCTTCCCTCCCTCCTCCCCAAGACAGCAAGCAATCTGATATAGGTTTATACGTGTACTATCATGTTGAACATATTTCCACATTAGTCATGTTGAGAAAGAAACCTTTAAGTTCTATACGTCAACAGTGTGACCTGGCAGCCAAAAAAAAAAACCCTAAAATGATACTAGGTTGTATCTTAATGAGGCATAATGTCCATGATTGGGGGGCAACCCTTGGGAGACGCACAGTATCTAAGACCAGGAAGGCCAAAGTGCCATCGTTCCCTATCTTTATCTGATCACATCTGGAGAACTGTACTCTAGGCACTGTGTTTTAGGCTAACCTTAACAGTTATGTTAACAGAGGAGGGTAGCCAGGATGGCAAGAGAACTAATATCCACACCACGGGAGGGTTGGTCGAAGACACTGAGAATGTTTCGCTTGGAGGTGAGTCTCAGGGGGACCATGATCATTATCTTCAGGTATCTGAAGAGATGCTATGTGGAAAAGGGGTTACACATGTCTTGCTTGGCCCCAGAGAGCTGAACCAGAAGCTGTGGTAGAAATTACCTAGGCAGATTTTTGTTCAATCATTTTCAGTCGTGTCCAATTCTTCATGACCTCATTTGGGGTTTTCTTGGCAAAGATGCTAGAGTGATTTAACATTTCCTTCTCTAGCTCATTTTATAGATGAGGAAACCAAGGCAAACAGGGTGAAGTGACTTATCTAGGGTCATATAGCTATTAAGTGTCTGAAGTTAGATTTGAATTTAGGAAGATGAGTCTTCCTGCCTCCAGGCCTGGCACTCTATCCACTGGGGCACGTAGCTGCCCATAGGTAGATTTCAGTTCAATATAAGGAAGGACTTCCAAACAACTAGGGCTGGCCCGAATCTAGGACATTGAGGATTCTCTTTCCCAAGAAATCTTCAATTGGCAATTGTATAACCACTTGTTTGCATATAGTAGAAGAGACTCCTTTTTAAATATGGGTCAGAATCAGGTTCTTTCCCAGCCTCCTTCTAGAGGTAGCTAGGTGGCACAGTGAATAAAACACTAGGTCTGGAGTCAGGGAAACCTGAGTTCAAATCTTGCCTTAGACACTTACTAGTTGAGGGACCCTGGGTAAGTTACTTACCCTTCATTTGCCTCAATTTCCTCATCTGAAAAATGGGATAATTATAGCACCTACCTCACAGGGTTATTGTGAGGACCAAATAAGATACAGATAATATCTGTAAAGTGCTAATCATGGTACCTGACATGTGGTAGGTACTTAATAAATGTTTGGGTTTTTTTCCTTATATCCTTCCTTCCTCTAAGACTCTGTGAAATGTTAGGGTGGGGTAGGGTAAAGGGACTCCAGTGAGATTTATGCTATGAAACACTAAATTATTTAATGTGTTTATTTTTCCTGAGCTTTTATCACTATTCGACCTTGACAGTTTCCCTTCACGTACAGAGAAGTAAAATCCCATGAAATTATTTTTCTTTTTGTCTCTGAGCTTAGAGGAGGCTGCTCTGCACTCTAATCTTCAAAGCAGACGTCTCAGAACTCCCACAGACAGAAGGCTAGAGCCTTTCCTCGAGGATGGGCAATGTGGCCCTTTCTCACAATACTTCCCCCTCCAGTGTTTCCGTGACCACTGCCCTGCCTTTCCCTAGTACTCCAGGTAAAGTCTTCACAGCGACATTGGAGTATATTCCATCCGCCGCTGGCTCTCGTTCTGGGCGTGGAGATTTCAGGAGCTCTGTGGGCTGGCTCCATTCGATGAGGCTGCCATTCCCTTTCATGTCCATTTCTAGCAGATCTGTTTGGAAGATGTCCATGTCCATGGCTATAGTCAACCCCTCCGAAAGGACGCTTCTTTCGCTCTCATCTGGGTCTTTGTCTAGCGATTCAGGTGGCCACTGAGTAGCGCAGGTACCCCCATTCCTTCTCCCTGCTTCTTCCTGACCCCCTTCACAATGGGAATTTTGGAGGTGATCTTGGCAGGGGTCTGGGTCCCACTGCAGGGTAGAATGAATGTCTTCTAGATTCCATGTGGAAAGTGCAGCGTGGGTACTGGTCTCTGCAGTCACCTCCTTCTTCTCCCCAGGTTGGAAGCTCCTTAGCTCAGCTGCTCTATCCATTCCTTGAAAAAGAACAAAATTTGTATGGAGCAATTCTTCAGATACTCTTTCCCCTCTAAATACCTCTTCAGTCCCTAAAGTTCCTTTCCTCACCTCTTGCCTACTGCTCACTTCAACCTAGAAGATTTCAGGCTCACCCAGAAATCTCCAGTCTCTGCATAACAAAGCTATATGTACCTATGCCAACTTTGCAGCTTATAAAGAAATTCATAAACATTTCATTTGAACCACCACCATCTAAGATGAATAGTGCAGATATTGATGTCCTACAGGTAGGTAGATGGTGCAGTGGATAGAGTACTATCCATTAGAGGCAGGAAGACCTGAGTTCAAATTCTGCCCCAGATATTTGTCAGCTATGTGATGCTGGGCAAGTCATGGAACCTTTTAAAACTCAGTTTCTTTTTCTGCAATGAGGGTAATAATAGCATGAAATTCCCAGGGTTCTTATAAGGATCAAGTGAAATAATAATGTAAAATGCTTTACAAACCTTAAATGTTAACTATTATCATTATCCCTATTTGATTATCAAAGAAACCGAGGCTCAGAGAGAAGTGACTTGCCCAAGGTCACATAGTGGTGAGCAATGCTGGTACCGGAATCTGGATTCCAGGATACCACAGGATAGCTTAGGGAAGCTGTCTTACCAGGAGCATCTGTGTCAATCCCTCACGTTCAACTATTTTCACTTTTAGGGAGCTGAGAGTCATTTTTGTAAGGACGGGGAAATTTGATGTAGTCACAAAATATAATGATAAGCGATGGCATGTACCCATCATTTTGGGAAGAATGAATACCTCCCCCTGATGACATTAAAGGGTGGTTGGCCATTGGACAAACAGACAGACAAACAAAAAATAACCAAAAAACTGCCCATACTCTTGAAAACTTTAAATAGCTGTACCTTAAAGACAGTTGGCAATTCAAGAAAGATGAAGAGAGAGCCAAGGGTTAAAGGAGAATTGAGCTATTCACCTGAAGGAGGGAGAGGTAGAGATTTCTCTCTCTCTCTCTCTCTCTCTACCCCCATCAGTCAGTCAATAAACATTCATTAAGTGCCAAGCACCATGCTAAGCACTGGGGATACGAAAGAAGGAAAAACAAAGTCCCTGCCCTCAAAGAGCTCACAATTTAATGGGGGGAGATACCATGTAAACAGATATATACAAAGCAAGCTATATACAGGATAAATAGGAAATAATTAACAGAGGAAAGGCATCAGAATTAAGAGGGGTTGAAGAAGGCTTCCAATAAAAGATGAGATTTTAGTTGGGACTTAAGGAAGTCAAGGGGGCCTGTAGGTGGAGTGCAAGAGGGACAGCATTCCAGACATGAGGGACAGCCAGAGAAAATGCCCAGAATAGAAAGATGGAGTGTCTGGTTTTGTGGAACAGTCAGGAGGCCAGTGTCATTGAACTGAAGGGGACATGTCAGGAACATAGGTATAAGAAGACTGGAAATGTAGGAAGGGGTTCATAACCTAACCAGGTTATGAAGGGCTTTGAATGTCCTTTTGTATTTGATCCTGGAGGCACCAGGGAGCCACTGGAGTTTGTCAAATAGGGGGATGATATGGTCTGACATGTACTTTAGGAAAATCGATTTGGTGGCTGAATAGAGAATGGATTGGAGTGGGGAGAGACTTGAGGCAGGTAGACCCACCAGCAGGCTGTTGCAATAATCCAGGTGTGAGGTAATGAGGGTCTGTACCAGTGATGGTAGTATCAGAGGAGAGAAGGGGGTGTATTGGACAGATGTTGCAAAGGTGAAATCTGCAGGCCTTGGCAACAGATTAGATATAGAGGTGGAGGGGTGGGGTGAGAGATAGTGAGGAATCCAGGATGATTCTTGTGAGCCTGAGGGACTGGAAAGATGGTCTTTCCCTCTACAGTGATAGGGAGGGTTGGTGGGGGAGGTTTAGGAGGAAAGACAATGAGTTCTGTTTTGGACATATTGAGTTTAAGATGTCTACTAGATACCCAGTTAGAAATGTCTGAAAGTCAATTGGAGACGTAAGATTGGAGGCCATCAGAGAATTGGGGGCAAGATAAGTAGATTTGAGAATCATCAGCATAAAGATGGTAATTAAATCCATGGGAGCTGATGAGATCACCAAATGAAGCAGTATAGAAGGAGAAGAGAAGAGGGCCCAGGACATATTCCTGAGAGACATTTAGGATTAGAGAGTGTGATCGGGAGGAGGGTCAGGCAAAGGAGACAGAGAACGAGTGAATGGTCAAACAGGTAAGAGACCAGGAGAAAGGAATATTCCCCAAAAAAACTAAGAAGAAGAGAATATCAAGGAGAGGGTGATCATAGTGTCAAAGGATGCAGACAGGTAAAGGAGAATGAGGATTAGGAAAAGGCTGTGGGGACTACTTGTCCTGGGAGAGAAATTCCATCCAGTATTTGCAGAATCGGTTACAGAGAGTCAAAGGTGCAGAGGAGGAAGCAGAGACACACTTTGCACAGAGAGGCAGTGAATCAAATATGGACGTAGCTTCAAAGAATAGAGCCTCTTACAGCAGAGAAGAGAAGCAGCTATGGATTCAGAAGAGAACTAGCTCTGATAATTGAGTGAAGCTGAAGAGAAGAGCAGACTACAGGAGCCTAGCTGAGGCACCCATCCAACAGAGAGCTTTGTGAGGACTCCCCTAGAAGGAGAAGGGTCTTTGAGGACTCATGGTACCAGACGTGTTCAAACTGTATCTTGTTCTGGTTCCCCCGACCACCTCCTCCCCTTCTAGTCGGTATAGTAAGTTTATAAGTAGCCAGTATTAAGGGGAGGTAGCCGGAAATAAGATTGCAAAAGAGAACCTGGAAGTCACACACAAATCGTCCCAAAGATCAAAGGAACATAACTTACAAATTATATTATGTATTAACCAAAATTCACATCCCAGTAACATGTACTAAATCAAGGAGAGCCATCTAGACACTGATATCAAGGTTTCTAGTCTTAGGATATGCAAATTCTGCACAAAATCCAGACCTCCACAACTACAGACTGGCAGAACATCAAAAGGGGCTAATAACTTTGAGATGATGACTTTGAATTTTTACTGTTAACTTTGAGATGATTTGGATATGTTACTGAACCAACCCCAAGATGGCACAGATAGGAGTTGGTCTGTTTTCACTCCCAAAAAATGATAAAAATGAAATATCAAATTCTTGCCCCCGAACCTTCTTTCACGTCCTAATGGTCCATGGTACCTAGTGCTCCCAACTCTAATCCATGGTTACATGAATGATATTCTCTGCTTCTCGCCATCCCCCTCCTCTTCCCCATGTTGCCTGACTTCCCTCTCCATCCCATCTCCTCTCCCCACACCACCATCTCCATCTGTATCCCTCCCCACTTCTTGCCACTTCTCTCAGTATTTTCTGTGCTATTTGCTTTCATACCCTTTGTGCTTATTAAAGCGTGATTACCACCCCATTCCTTGCTGCCAATTGTGGTCTTTCCCAATGAGTATCAAAGAACCAGCCCCTGTTTCATAATTTCATAAATTAATTATCAATTCACCAAAGGAGTGAATAGCTTTGGCAATATGTAGTCCCTACCCATGTGCATCATTACGGTTGCGCTAAGTCTGTACCTACTTTTACCAATGATACCATGCTTTGTGATAAAGTATATCTAAGGTTTCTGGGAAGAATGCTCTGTAACTACTGTTCTTACCTTGCCATCTTAGTGAATGCCTTTCCTTTGAACAAATTATGTCTTCTGGACGATTGTTGAAGGGAAAGAAACAGGTAGGGGCTCATGAATTAGTTTTAGGAGTGTTTATCTCCAGGTACTTCAAGACAGTCATCACCTTGTGGGGACCTAACCTTCCAGTAACAGTTGAGGGAGTGACCAAGAGGGAAAATGTCATATTTTTAATTCCAGTCTCTCTCTCCATCATTCTGCAACCCACAAAGAAGTGCCTGTCTTCTCAGCTTTGGAATCATTTTTTGCTGATCTGTTTATTTTGATAACAAACTTGTCTCTTCCTCACAAAGATTCAACTATCCACAGTAACATTTAGTTTTTCCAGTGTAGTGGGGGGAGAGGGAGAGAAGGAATAAGTACTTATATAGTGCTTACTATGTACCAGGCATTCTACTAAGTGTTTTTTAAAAATAATACCTCATTTGACCCTCACAACAACTCTGCGTGGTAAATCCTATTATTATCCCCGTTTTACAGTTAAGGAACCGAGGCAGACAGCGGTTTAAATGACTTGCCTGAGGTTACACATCTAGTAAATATCTGAGGTTGGATTTGAACTCAGAACTTCCTGACTGTAGGCCCAGCACTCTACACTGCACCACCACCTTCCCGTAGTGTAGTGAAAGGAAGTGCTGGATTGAAATTTGTGATTTTGTGCAAGTCCCCCTTCCTAGAATCTCAGAATCCCAGAGTAGGATGGGAACTCCAAGATCACGCCATGCCCACATCTCATCTGCAACATCCCAAAGGGTCATTCAGCTCCCAATTAAAGAGATGGAATCCATTACCTCCTGAGGCAGCCCTTCCACTCTTTAAGAGCTCTAATTTTTAAGAATTTTTTTCCTAATATCAAGCCTAAATCCTCCTCACTCTACAATCCACCCATCATTCTTTACAATTTCACAATATTCATCTTCAATTGTTTTGTAATTGTAGTACTTTCCATTTACCTAGTGTCTGCATTGTGTTTGCATTAGCTCATGTAAGTCTTTCCATTCTTCTCTAAATTCATCATGTTCCTTGTTTCTTATAGACTTTGATACTCAATTAGACCCGTGGGAGCCACAATTTATTTAATCATTACCCAATCTAGGAGCATCCACTTTGTTTTCAATTGCTTGCTACTACAAAAAAGTGCTGCTATAAATATTTTGGTGTACATGGATGGAACCTTTCTTTTGGTTAGTGACCTCCTTGAGATATATGTTTGGCAGTGTCATCTCTGGGTCAAAGGATATGGAATTTTGGCCACTTAGTTTACATAATTCCAAGTTGCTTTCCAGAATGGTTGTACTAATGCACAGCTCTACCAAGAATGCACTAATGTACCTCTGAGAAGAATTAGAGGGGCACATGATGGCTGTCTTCAAGCATCCGAACAGCTGTCATTTAGAAGGGATTTATCGATGTCCAACCTGAGGAAGTTGTCACCACTGCCTCCAACTGGACTTCCAGATAACGTACCCTGGAAGAACTTTGGCCCTCCTGGTCTGATTGGCAAGACCTCACTACACATAGCTGGTACTAGATCTAACTATGCTCTTTCACAAAGGCCATTTTCCAATATACTGCCTTACATACACCTTTCTCCTCTCCTCTTCCACTTCTGCAGCCTGCCCACTCCACCCTTCAACAGTAATCAAATCAACTCTACTATTCCTTCTAGAAAAGGCAAGGCAACAAACTTCTCACTATCCAGGTAACTCAAAACATCCTTCCTTAACCATCACTCCCCTGTATGTGTTGTTTCCCCTTTTTAGACTGTAAGCTCCTTGAAGGCAGGGACTGTCCTGCTTTTGTACTCATCTCCTCAGCTTAGTACAGTGCCTAGAACATTGTAAGTATATAATAAATGTTTTTTTCTTTCATCTAGCCATTGCACTTATTCATTCATTCAGTTGATTGTCTAATTCTCTTTTTTTCAAAATCTTTATGGACAGAGAGGCCCATTGCCACTCACTCCATTGTTTTATCAGTTTGACAAAGAGTTTTGTTGTGCTTAGGACCAAAGGGGCTCTCCTCCCATTAATGTAAAATCATTGTTCTTGCCTAGACTTTCTGCAGACAAGCAGAATAACTTGTCCATACACTCCTCGGAAAAAATCCTTTATGCTCTTATCTGTAATTAAAGTGTCTCTGCCCCTTGGCCCTCTCCTTCAAATAGGACAATTCTAGTTCTCCCACATTTTTTTCAGAGATAAGGGTTTCCAACTGGTAACCCCTGGCTGTATCTCTTCTCCAAACATTCTCCAACTCTGGACTGATATACACTCTGGCAGTGTGTGAGAGTGGGGTAGAGAGAGCATTCTCCTGGCACTCACCCTTTGTGCCTTCAATTCCCAATGCCACCATGGTGCTCCTGCCCCTTGAGGCTCAGACTATTACATCAACAGAATTTTCTGCTGCCTCTGAACCACCCTTCATCCTGCTGCCAAACTAACCTTCCTGAAGTCCAGCTTTTAACTTCTTATTCCCTAGTCCAAGAACCTATGGATAACTCCCCATTATCAACCCCATTAAGTACTCCATCCCTCTACCTGGCCCTTAAGACCACCGGTGAAAAGTGTACATGATGACATCAATGTAAATGAAAAGATAAACATCAAAGACAAATAAACCACAAACCAAAATGATCAAGCTTGGCCCTGGAGAAGATAAAATGCACCTCCCTCCCTTCTTAGTGCAGGTAGGGGATTATGAGTATGGAATACTAAATAAACTTTGATTTAGTTGACGTGCTGATTAATTTCACTGAGAAGCTTCTTTTTTTTTCTCCTTCTTTTTTATTCTTTTACAAAAGATGAAGTGGAGGAGAGGCAAGGGATTTTTCGGAGATGGAGGTAATGTAAAAACAAAAGACATTAATGCATTTTTTAATGGTAAGAGGGAAAGAGGACCTCCAGGAATCTGGCCCTGATCTAATACCCTTCTGCTCCCTAACACAGACCCTCAGGATAGATACAGTCTTCTCTGTCCTCCAGCACAAACCAGGTTCATTTTTGCCTCTGATCCAGGGTTATACACCATTAGAATATAAAATCTTTGAAGGTATGGATTGTTTCATTCTTTGTAACGCCATCCCTGTGCCCAGCTGGCACACAGTAGGTGCTTAGTGAATTGATTGACCTGAAGTGTCCTTCCCCTTCTTATGCATCTAGCTAAGTCTTACTTGGGCAGCTAGGGGGCACAGTGGATACAGCAAGGGACCTGGAGTCAGGAATACCTGAGTTCATATCCAGCCTCAGACACTTAGTAGCTGTGTGACCCTGGGCAAGTCACTTAACCCTAATTGCCTCAGTTTCCTCATCTGTAAAATGAGCTGGAGAAGGAAATGGCAGACCACTCCTGTCTCTTTGCCACAAAAACCCCAAATGGGGTCACAAAGAGTCAGACATGACTGAAAAAATGACTGAACAACAACCACAAAGCCTTACTTATCCCTTGTAGGCCTCACCTACCTATTCTATGAAGTCCTCCTGGAATATTCAGGCTCCTAATGATTTTTCCCTTTTCTAAACTCCTGGAGTTAGGGCCAAACAATTCAGTCCTTAATTATTCTCTAATTGCTACATGCAGAGGCCGCATTTTCACACTTCTGTTAAGATTCTCCCTCCTCTCCTTCTCTGGCTACTCACTCACCCCCACACTCCCAGTCCTTCCCCTAGTAGCTAGCATGATCACTAGTGTTCAATAAGGGTTGGCTCATTCCTTGGCTGTAGGACCTCTTTCCTCCTGTCTGATCATGTGCTTTTACCATCCCCCAGTATCACAATGGCTTCTCTCATGATGAATGGCATTTATTTAGCTGTGATCTCGGGTGATTTTTTGCTATATGAGGTTGACAATGTTCATAGTATTGGCTCTACAAAAGAGCAGTCATCTTGTCCCAGCCTCACCCCCCTCTATCTGTAACCAGAGGGCTAGACCTACTATACCTCCACAGCTTCCTTTCTGCCATGGCAGGCCCCTCTCCTAACTGATTACTGCCTGTACCCCCAGACCAAGAGACTGGGCTTCCCACTTGGGACAGGCTAATACTATCAAATATGGTACAGCACTACTTTGGGAGACTGATGTCTCTTGCTAGCCTGTCCTTGTCCAGTTTGGATCTTTATTACCTCCTGAAAGTTTCACTTTCACAATTCTTTGTTCAGACAGAGAGAGCATGATGAGCTAATGATGAGAGGTACCAACCACATCAAAAGCAAAGGCTGTGGCAGACTGAGTAATCTCATCCCACCACAACCCACAGTTTCTGACTGAGACCCAGCTGTATGACCTTGGGGGTTCTTGTGCCATCCAGTATCTCAACATACTCCTTCCAAACCCACTCCCTCTTCTAGTGTACCAAAGAGTTAATTTGAGGCTGCCACAGTTACTAGGTCCCCAAACATAGGTGTACGCCTAAGTCAAACTTTGTTTGCTTAAAATCTTTCAAAATACTCCCATCAGCACTGGCTGCTCCCTGACTGAAACAACCCTCCATGGGTGAGACTGATTCATACAGGCTAACAATAAGTGGACTTTCTATTGTCAAAATCTGTAGCACCAAAGTCTCTACTGTCTTAGAAAAATAAATGTTGTGACAGCTACGTGGCACTGTCGATACAGCGACGAGTCTGAAATCTGGAAAGATCTGGGTTCAAATACAGCCTCAAACACTTACTAGTTGGGCAAATCACTTAACCCTGTTTGCCTTAGTTTTCTCATTTGTAAAATGATAGTAGCACCTACAGACCAAATGAGATAATAATTGTAAAGGACTCAGCACAATGCCTGGCACACAGTAGGTGCTATATAAAAATGTTAGCTATTATTATTAGTCCTTGGTGTCAAGTCCTCAGTTTCTCTAGAATCAAAGACCTAATCAGTCTCCATTAAATAGAAGACTTAATCAATGGGAACTCCAGCTCCCCTCCTGGGATCTGCTCCTTCCAGACCCACCACTCCCCACCTCTTTCCAACTCTAGTTCTAAGAACAGAGCTGCCATTCTTGAAAAGGACATGTCAATCAATTGCCCTATGACTCCAAACATCATTCCCTCTGATTTCCCCATCTAAAACACTCCTCCTCTGGCCAATACTCCACCATACGCATTGTGTTCCTCAATTAGAATGAAAGCACCTTGATGGCAGACACTGTCATGCTTGCTTGAGTATCCCTGAGTTTAGCAGAGTGCACGGCACAGTGAGCACTTGATAAATTATTTTTCATTCATTCATCTACTGTGTGCTAGCTATACCACTGGTTTGTATTCCTGCACGCACAGTCTCGTACTCCTCCCTGCCCAACTCAGATCCTTCTTCATTTCCCTTTTGAGCAGGTATAGGGAAATACTAATGACAGTCAGCTCCCAAGTTCCCTGCTCTTAGAACTCGACTGTACAAAAAGAACATCTTCATTGACTTGTAGGGCTCAGACCTGGGATCACCTGCCCCATGGATAACTGAGAGTTGACTTTATGTGGTGTGCCTTTAGAGGCACTTCTCAGGTTTGCCAGTAGTCTCTGTCATTGGTACTGAAGTTGGCCCTACTTCTTTTCTTCTAAAACCAGCCCTGGACCCAGCATCTCATGCCCATGGAACAGGAAGGGATGGCGGTGTCCCTTCCTTAAGGAGAGGGTACCTTGTATTCTTAGAGTACGCCCTACTCACCTGCGTTCACCTTCTGGTTCAGGAAATTCAGGACTACGTCCTCATAAATGTTCTCAATGGTGATAATGTGACTATAGTCTGCAAACACATACTTCTCATACTTGTGCAACTCCTAGAATCCAGAAGTGGAGAGAGAAGTCAGGGCAGGTGCCTTTGGGAACCTCCTCGGCCAACATGTCCAGAGGCCAGTCCTGGGCTTAAAACTGGATGAGTCTAGGCCTTGGAATGTTAAACTCTGCTCGAGGGTCTAGTTGCTCAATTCCTTGGCTCTTGAGGCCTAGGCTGTCAGTCTTACCGGGGGGAAGAGGGTGACTGGACCTTCTTAGACTAATTCAAGCTACCCACTCCCAGGAGATGGACTTACAAAGCAGACCACACTGAGTGACATACCATGCCTTTAGCACCCAGCAGACATCTATGCCCTAGCAAAACTACAGCAGGACAGCCAAGTGGTAACTTTACATTGGAGGCCCTGTCCTTCCCTATCCTAAGGTGTCCTTGGTGAGTATGGAATTGGAGACAAGGAGATGAAATTGTGTTAAGGGAAATTCGGCCCCTCCGCCTCCTGATCTCCTTCTCCTCTCCTAGGAAGAACATCTTTTTAGGTAGGTATTGTAAGTTACCCCAGTTTTATGAATTTCTTCATTAGAGGTTAAATGGTTTGCCCAAGGTCACCTAGCTAGGAAAACCAGAGCTGGAACTTGAAGATGGGTCTTCTTGATCTACTATACCATACAGACTGTATTACTTGTCTTTTCCATTGTTACTATTTTCATAGTTACATTGTCTGTCTCAGCCTCTATTTCACATGGATTCAATTCAATTCAATTAAATACTCATTAAATGCCTAAAATGTGCAAGTCACAATGTGCCCAAAGATAATTCCAAGGCCATAAGCCTGGCTAACTGAGGGCCAATAATAGAAATAGTTTGAAAGTTGGGGGAGAAGCAGATTTGTGGGAGAGTGATACTAAATTCATTTTGGGACATGTTGAAATTGAAGAGCCAGTGAGAACATTCTGGGAGAGATATCAGCAGGAAGTTGGGAAACGTTAAGGACAGCATGGGCTTAGAGATAGATGGGTTCTTCCCCTGCCACTCCCAAACAATGCCAAGTTTCCTCCATTTATAATACACTCTCACTTGAAGCCTGCCATCTCGTTGAGCTATCATCTTATATTTCTCTTTCCTTTCACAGACTAACTTCTCAAAAATGCTATTCAAGCTCAGTGCCTCCACTTCACCTCCTCTCAGTTACTTCTCAATCCCTCATAATGTGGCTTCCATCCTCATCACTCAGCAGAAATGCCTCTTTCCAAAGTTGTCAATGAACTCAACTTCCAAATCCAAAGGCTTTTTCTCCACCCTCATCCTTCCTGACTGTTCTGCAATCCCTGATGCTGTTGAGAACCCTTTTCCTCCTAAAATCTCTCTCTTCTCTGGGTGTTCATGACCCTGCTCTACCCTGGCTCTTTTCCTAACTGACTGCTTCTTCTCAGTATCTTTTGTTATGTCATGCCCACTAATATTCAGGGTTCCTATTCCCCAAAGCTCTCTCCTGGCTCTCTCTCTCTCTCTCTCTCTCTCTCTCTCTCTCTCTCTCTCTCTCTCTCTCTCTCTCTCTCTCCCCTCCCTCTCCCCCCACATAGCCAATGAGTTGCTAAGTCTTATTAACTTCCCAACATCTGTCACATCTGTTCCCTTCTCTGCACTCCCAGAACCACCACCTTAGTTCAATCCCTCATCGTCTCTGGTCTGAACTACTGGCATAGCCTCCTAGTTCCTTCCCTGCCCCCAAAGATCCTCTATACCACGGCCAAAATATTTTCCTAAAGAACCATGTCATGTCCCAGCCTAATAAGGTCCAGGAACTCCCTAATGCCTATAGAATCAAACACAAATTCCTTTGATTGGCATTTAAAGCCCTTCATACTCTGGCTCTAACTCTCTTTTTTTAGTTTTTTTAATTTTTTTTTTTTTGCTTTTTGGTAAGGCAATCAGGGTTAAGTGACTTGCCCAGGGTCACACAGCTAGCAAGTGTCAAGTGTCTGAGGCTTTGATTTGAACTCAGGTCCTCTTGAATCCAATGTCAGAGCTCTATCCACTGCATCACCTAGCTGCCCCTCTTGATACATACTATTCTCCCCTTCAGGGAGGCAGCTAGGTGATTAAGCGGCCTGGAATCAGGAAGATGTGAGTTCAGATCAAGCCTCAGACACTTACTAGTTGTGTGACCATGGGCAAGTCACTTTATCTCTATCTGCCTCAGGTTAATCATCCGTGAAATGGGGATAATAATAGCACCTTCTCCCCAGGGTTGTTATAAGGATCAAATGAAATGATATTTGTGAAGCACTTAGCACGGTGCCTGGCACACAGTGGGGACTTAATGCTTGTTTCTTTCCTTTGTTCCTGCCAGACTGGCCTCCTTGGTGCTCTTCACATGTGACGATCCACTTTCCACCTTTGCTCAGGCCAGATGCCTGGAATGTACTCTCTATACATCCATCCCCTACCCCCATCTCTTAGAATCTGTAGCTCCCTTCAAGTTTCAGTAAAAGGGAAGTATCTTTAGAATGCCTTCATCCTCCCAAGGTGGAGGATGAAGGCAGGGAGCAAAGAAGAAGGGAGAGATTGAGGATGAGGAGATTTCATGATCCCAATAAGAAAACCTTCATTTTCTGCCTCTAGGGCCTTTTCCAGTTTAGACTTCAGGCCTGCATTAATTTATGACATATCAGGAGGCAATAAAGAATAGTATAGTGGGAAAAAACTTGGTCCTAGAGTCTGAAAATCTAGATTTGAGTCCTGACACTTGCTAGGTATAAAAATACTTAATAGCAAGTTACTCATTTTCCCTGAGCCTCAGTACTCTCTTCTGTAAAATGGGGATAACTGCTCCTGTCTTTGTCATCACAAAAGTCAACGGCCTTATTTAGGCTATGAGTGAGAGCACAGAAGCCTGAGGCCTCTCAATAATTCCTCTGCCCAAGTTCCCTGGAGTGAACAAAGGCTTTGGGGCTCAGGCACGGGGGGGAAGCTGCCCCTGGGGTGTCACACTCACCAGTTTGCAGCCCAGCTCCAGCCTTCTCAGCAGGTAGGGAAGGAAAATCTGGACAAGCCATTCTTGAACAAAACGCTTCTGAGCAAAACTGCTGTCAGACTCGAATTTCTGAAAGAATAATTGGGCAACAAGCCGCTGCCGATTGTTGTTCAACTAAGAAACAAACACATACGTGTGCCAGGCACTGGGGATCCTGAAGGCAAGAGGGAAAATAATCCCTGGACCTGAAAGGGCTTGCAGGCTAGCTGTGGTTCAAATTGTGTCTGACTCTTCACGACCCCATTTGGGGTTTTCTTGGCAGATTTACTGGAGTGGTTTGCCATGTCCTTCCTCATTTGTAAAATGAGGAAACTGAGGCAAATAGGGTTAAGTGACTTGCCCAGGGTCACACAGCTAGTAATCTGGATTTGAACTCGGGTCTTCCTGACTCCAGGCCTGGCACTCTAGACACTGCACCACCACAGTCTAGCTAAAGAAAACAAACAGAAAATCCTGTTTGTTGTTCAAAGCCCTTCACAGTTTCCCTCTTCACACCCTTTCTAGTCTTCTTCTCCCTCCCACATACTGTTTGATGCAGTGAGACTGGCCCCTCGCTGTCCCTAGAACAAAACATGCCATCTCTTGGCTCCAGGCATTTTCTCTGGCTGTCCCCCCTGCCCTGGAATGCACTCCCTCCTCATACCTGCCTCTCAGCTTCCTTCAAGCTCCAGCTAAAATGCCACCTCCTACAAGAAGGTGATTTCCCTTAATGTCAAGCCCCTTCCCTCTGCTGTTCCCTCTCTCTGACTGATTCTGTTTATAAGGCAGGTAGGGGGAAAAGTGGAGGGAGCACTGGGGCTGATGTCAGGAGGATCTGAGTTCAAATTCCACTTCAGATACTAGCCATGTGACCCTGGGCAAATCATTTCACCCTTTTTGCCTCAGTTTCCACATCTGTAAAATGAGCTAGAGAAGGAAATGGCAAACCACTCCGGTATCTCTGCCAAGTAAAACCCAAATGGGGTCACAAAGAGTCTAAAACAACACAACAAATCCTGTTTATAGTTTATCTGTATCTAGGCACTTGCAGATTTTTCTCCCATCAGATGGTGAGCTCCTTGTGAACAGGGCGGGCCGTCTTTTGCCTTTCTTTGCATCCTCAGAGCTTAGCACAGTGCCTGGCACACAGTAGGTATTCAATTAATGTTTATTATCTGACAAGTATATGTGTGTATGCGTGTGTATTTATGCGGATGAGTGTGTGTAGGTGTGTATACACATATACATACGTATAATATTCCTATATACTTTTATATACATATGTATGTATGTATAGGGGTATATTCAAAGCAGATATAAGGTGATTTAGGAGGGAAGGCACTAGCAGCTAACAGGATCCAGAAAGGCCTCATGTAGAAGGGGGCTCATGACCTGGGCCTTGATGGGAAGCAGAGATTTTAAGAGATGGGGTTCAGGAGGGAATGCATTCGAGGCGCGGGGAACAGCCAGTGAAAGCCTGTGGGAGGCAGTCATAGCAAGAACAAGGGTGACTGGGGGGAGGGGTTGTCTTACTTTTAACACACGACCCTTGACCTTCTCCAGCATGCAGATGACCTGTCTTCGGCGAGTGGCTGAAGACACATGTTGGGCTGAAAGCTGCTGGAAGGTGTACACAGCATTCTCCATCAGCTAAGAATGGAAATGTTAGAGAAAGGCACTTGATATGGAAAAGATGTGTGGAGTCACAACCTCTAGCTGCCTTTCCCTAGCCCCCAGATATGCTCATGGGTGAGGAAAGTCACCATGCTTCCTTCTCACCCACCCCCAGACAGGACCAGAGCTCCACCATGGCTTTCCTTGCTGACCCTTCATGGTACCTGTTGCATGAGATCCTGAGCACTGAAGACAAGGTTTTTAGTGCCTTGAAAACCAAATCTTTCCTTCAAAGCCTGAAGACTGTCCCAGTAGAGCTCTGCCTTCTGGTAGCATGGCTGCATCAGTTCTAAGTCCCAGGGCATATCTCCCAGGGAGCAAACCTGTGAAAGTGCAGCATATGGAAAGGAGCTGGGCCCAGTCTGGTGCAGTTACTCAAACAGAGGACAGCAGGGAAGCTCCCTCAGCCTGCCCTCTGGTAGGAGTCCTTCCCTAGATTTGGGACAGCTGCATTTAGAGTTCAGAGGAAGGATCCCATGGCCTCAGGTGCTACCAGGAGTTGGCCTTGGAGGGATGGGAAAAGTCTTTGGAGCAGCATCTTGACAATGTAAACAATTCCAATAAGGAAGAGAAGAGGGAGCTGTCCAAAGAGAACTGCATAGGGCACTTCTCAACCACCTTGGATTTACAAAGACAACATAAGAAGGCAATGGAAGCAAAGAAGGGTAGCTGTGGGGTGGGGGAGATATCATGGCACACTCCTGTAAGAATTGTGTTAGGGGTGCAATATAGGGGTGCTAGGAACCCCAAAATGCAAGTGTACAGGGCAGAGAGTCTGCCCTGAAAGAATTCGACCATTCAAGCCTTCTTTCTGTCCGAGTAGGCCCGGAGTCAGGAAGACTCATCTTCCTGAGTTCAAATCTGGCCTCAGACACTTCCAGCTGTGTAACCCTGGGCAAGTCAACTTAACCTTGTTTACCTCCATTTCCACATCTGTAAAATGAGCTGGAGAAGGAAATGGCAGACCACTTCAGTATCTTTACCAAGAAAACTCTAAATGGGGTCTTGGGAGTCAGACCATCCTGAAAGGACTCCACAACAATAACATTTGTTGGGCATTGTGCTAAGCCCTAAGGATACGAAAGCCAGCTGAAACAAAGATAGTCCCTGTCCTCAAGTAGCTTACATTCTAACGTGGGAAGATAATGCATAAAAGGGAGCAGAGAAGCAAGACGGTTTCAAAGTATTCTGCCTATTTCAGAACGGATTTGGAGTGGTCTGTCTAGTTCTAAATGCCCCACATTCTAGGAAGAGCTATGAGAAGCTAGAGTTCATCCAAGAGGTGCCACCATTGGTTGGAGGAACTAGGAGTTTTTAGGCCAGGGAAGATGAGAGGCTGGGACATGCTGGGTTGGGGAGCGGGGCTACCATATCTGTCTCCAGGAATCTGAGAGGCTGTCAAGTGCAAGATTGGACTTGTTCCATGTGGCCTCAGGGGGCAAATGGATGGTAGTTACTGATGAGGTAGAAAGGAATGCTCGAGGCAGATAGAGCAAGCTCGATACAGGATGTGAGATATGAGATAAGATGTGGGATGTGACCAGCCAGAAAAGTGATCAAAGAAGACTATGCATTGAAGCCCCCCACCTTGGACTTACCTGTGTGCTTTCACAAAGCACCCCCTTATCTGACATGCCAGAACAACTCTCCCCCTCCCCCTTTCCTTATCTTTATGGATTCTGGAGCAGCCTCCCTCTTCCCCTTTCTAGTTCTCCTTGCTTATCTGTATGACAAGGGCACCTCTGGATTACCTGAAATCCCAGGCATTCTAGAGCTGTGCTTGCCCCTCCCCTCATTCTCTTGTCCTCCTTCCCCCATTCCATAAAATTGTATTTAAACCAGACCTTTAACCTGGCCAATAGCTTCTGCCTTCCACTGGGGAGCAGGGCTGGTTCTGCCCCCCCACAGGGGAGCAGGGCCCGCCAAAGCTGTCCCTCTCACTTGGAGCCCGTTTGGGGCTCTGCCTCATGGCCCACTTGGGTGCATTACCCCAATAAACTCCTTTCTTTAAGTTGGAGACTGAGTGAATGTGCATTCTTTCAAGACACTAGAACCCACATGTCTATATTCCACCATTTCAGGTGGCACCCCAACATTCTTGGGGTGCACCCTGAACTCATCAGTTACAAAGGGACAGCTTTGGACTTGAGATCAGGACAAACTTTCTAAGTGACCTCATTTGCTCCTAGAAGAGCTTAGTTCCAAATCACTGAAGGGCTTTGGTGCAGGCTGAATGTCAACTGTAGGGGCCGCAGGAGATTCTTGCTTAAGCAACACATGCCCTCCGTGCTCCCTCCCAGCCCTGAGTTTCTATGAGTCTTCACATTGTAGCCTCTAGAGGAAGGAGATTTCCACACGTTTCCTATTATAACTCACTTCCCCTCTGTACCAAGGAAGTGCCCCAAACAGCCTTTGTGGTCAGCACTCTCTCTGGTGCTTTATTAGGCTCTAGGAGATGTGAGCTCTCCACAAGATAAGCACAAGATGTGTGACTGTGACCTACGGAACAGCTGAAGGAAGAGTGGATCAAGCCAGGATACACTAAGGAGAACAGAGAGAGTAAGGAGAGACTGATTCAGCCACAGGAATTGAAGGCTGTTGGCCCTAAGCTGCTATAACTCCTTCGGCATCCAGTGGTACAATTTCCAGTGCAAAGATATCTGCTTCCAGGAAAGGAGGCTTGCAGGATGGAGCAAGGGAGGGAACGAGCAATGATTAAGCACCTGCTATGTGCCAGGCGCTGTCCTAAGTCTTTTTAAAATATTTCAACAACAACCCTGCAAGGTAAGTACTATTATTATCCCCATTTTACAGTTGAAGAAACTGAGGCAGACAGAGGTTACATAGCTATTAAGCTCTGAGGCCAGATTTGAACTTGGGTCTTCTTGACTGCAGGCCTAGCACTGACATTCATAAAGTTAAATTGACTGATAAAGCTAAATGATATGAACAGGCAGTTCTCAAGGGAAGAAATCCAAGCTATCTATAATTAAATGAAATAAATGCTCCAAAATCACAGTTAGAAAAATGTGGATTAAAGTAACTCTGAGGTTATGCCTCACACCTATCAAATTCGCAAAACTGACAGAAAAAGAAAACTACAGACATTCAAGGGCAACAATATTGTGAAGACATACAATTTTGAAAGAATTAGGAACTTTCATCAGATACACAATGAGCAACCGCCATTCCAGAGGACTCATGATGAAACATGCTACACACTTCCTCACACAGAGGTGATGAACTCAGAGTATAGACTGAGCCGTATATTTGAGGGGGCATGGCCAATTCATAAATTTGGTTTGCTCAGCTACGCATATTTGGGACAGGGGTTTTCTTTTTCTCTCTTTCTTATTAGGGGGAAGGAAATAACATGTTTTCATTGATTGAAAAATAAAATTTAATTTAGAAAATAAATCATTAAAACTAAAGAAACCAAAGAAAGAGGAAAACATACACAAAAATATTTATAACATTTCTTTTTATAGTGGCAAATAGAATCAAGTGACACTCATCAATTGGGAATGGCTGAACAAATGACAGTAAACGAATGTGATTAGAACAGTACTGTGCTGTAAGAAATGAACAGAGACAGTTTCAGAGAAACCTGAAAAGACTTACATGAACTGAAGCAAAGTGCACCAGGAGAATACATTAAACTATAACAAAACTGCAAAAATAAAAAATTTTGAAAGACTTAAGGAACTCTGATCAATGCAATGACTCACCCTGATTCCAGAGGGTTTGTGATGAAGAATGCTACCTGCCTCCTCCTGACAGAGAGGGGATAGGCTAAGAATGTAGACTGAGAAACATCTTTTTGGACATAGCCAATATGGGAATTTTTCCCCCCTGATTATAAGTATTTGTTACAAGGGTTTTCTTTTCTTTTCTTTGAAGAAAGAGAAAAAAATTAATGCTTTAGTTTTTTAAAAAATTTTAATTAAAAAGGGAGAAGTTTGCAGGATATAAGCTGGGACCACATGGGGAGGTCTCACCTCCTCTTTCAGCACAGCAACAACCCGGCTTCTCTGCACATTTCTAAGCAGACTGTCCAATCGATGGACAAGGAGGGTGCCAATCATGCCAAGCCCTTGGCGAACAGGGCGCAGAAGCTCCTCCATCACCCAGGCCAGCTGAGGCTTTACTTCCCGGCAGAGGGAGGACTCAGCAGGGCCACACACCATTGCTGGAGAAAGAGCAGAGTGTTTCATGAGGCCCTATGCCTGGCAGAAAGCCAGGGCTTCAGCATGAAGGAGGAGGCACCTGGGATCTGGGGGGGGGGGGAGGCACAAGGGTCATAGGACAGTTCTCTGACTCATCAGAAAGGCCCTGGCTCAGTCACTGGAATGTGAGCAGCACAAACAAAAGGGGAGGGGGAAGTGGGAGGCAGGGGTCGGGGTGGGGGTGGCAGAGACACTTTGGAGCTGAATCTGGCCTCTCTATAAGCCTGTTCCAGGCAGAAGCAGCATCTTTCTCACCCAACCAATTCTCACTTTGAAGTTTTTGAGCAATCTGATTGCTTAATGCAAGCATCTGATCCGCCTCGGGACGAATTTTCTTCTCTAACTCTTTCTGCAGTTCTTCCTTTTCTTGATGAAAATTTTGGAGCTCAGAGGAGACCAGCTTTAATACTAGAACATAAACTTCATCCAAGAACTGTTCAAACAGCAGGAGACAGAGACAGAGACAGTCAGAAAGGGAAAAAGGAGGGGGAAAGAAGGGAGGAGACAGAGAGTAGGGGAAAGGGAGTAGAGAGGGAGAGGATGGGAAGGGGGAGAGAAGGAGAAGAGGGGGAAAAGGAGGAGGGGAGAGAGGTAAGGGGTGAAAGAAAGGAAGGAAGGAGGGTGGGAGAAAGGAAGAAAACAAGAGACAGAGAGGGAGAGAGGAAGGAAAGCAGGGGGAAGATGAGAGAGAGAGAGAGAGAGAGAGAGAGAGAGAGAGAGAGAGAGAGAGAGAGAGAGAGAGAATTAGGAAAGCATATATCCTTATATCAAAGACATTTACATAGGCCACAGCAGAAATATTTGAAGGGAGTCAGTGCTCTGAATGGCCTTTTCCTTACCCCAAAGCCCCCAAGTCCTGACCAAACAAACACAGTGCCAATATACAGCAAGAATGTTGATTGTGTTTTTTTTTTCCTGGAAGAGGAAGGGGGGTGTCATAGTACTCATTCCCACAATCCTGAGTGCTGACTGACATCAAGTGCCTGCCCCATAGGAGAAGCTCTGAGAGCTGTGGGGTTTCTGTGTATGGTCCCCCACTAACAGCTGATGGACTCATTTTGTATACCTGGTGTCGCAAACCTTTCTTGTGCCATGTGATAGTGGATGGGATTAGTGCTAGACCCCTGAAAGGAAAAGCACCTGAACTTTCCCAGAAATTTCAGGAACCCAGCCCTTGAACCCAAATCCCTGGCATTCGCCTGAGGCACCTGGCCTATACCAGTCAATAATCCTTTTAACTGACCTTTCATTGAGACTCTCATTGTCTGCAGCTGGCCCAAGGTAGGCTACTTGCCACTCCTTAATCCCATCCAGATCTTCCCACAGTCCTTCTGTATAAAAGTTCCAATTTTATTCTCATCATAGGCACAGATTCCTTAAGAGTCTGGCCAGCTTGTATTGGCATCACAAATAAACTCACTACTTTGACTGGAAGGCTTGAGTGGTCAAATTCTTTCGAGGCAGGCCCATACCCTGTACCCTTGCATTTCCAGGTTCCCAGCATACCTAGATTGCAACACCACGGACCTCTTGGGGGATGAGTCCTATGGATCCCTTCTCAGAATAATGTTTTAAAATAATTGAAGGAAATGCTCGGTTTCAGTTAGAGGTCAGTGAAAATGAAGATGTAATTTTTTTTCCTGTCCAACTTCACAGACCCTTGGAATCTATCCATGGACTCCAGGGAGTCAGTCCATGGTTAAGATCTTAAGGGTTGAGAAGTCCTGTTCCATACCCTCTGCCCACCAACCCTGAGACAGTGGACTTGAGCCAGAGGTAAAAACCCATGTGGCTCAAGCAATGATAATCCTGTGAATAGGAAAAGTCAGAATGGAGAATTTACCCTCCTCCAGGCCCATTTCCTCCGGCTTTCCACACCCCTGAGCATGGCTGGCTTCTGGGCCCGAAGCTTTGGCAAGAGATCCCTCATCAGCAGATTGGTGAGGACCTAAGGCCAAAAGAAGGCAGAAGTGACCACTCTACGGCAGGAGGAGATGGGCTCCCTCTCCAGCAGTCCCTCCCTGGGTTACATCCCCTGCAGGCAGAAGGAGGTGACCCCCAGCTACACTTATTCCACAAACCTCTGCTTCTGTGCCCAAAAGGAGGTTGTCGACTCCATAAATGCCTTTCTCCTGCCTGTAAGACTTCACGGCATCCAGAAATGCTTCCATGTCGGGAGATTCTTTTCTCTGTAAAACTGAAGCCAGTTTTATCCTCATTCCTCCATGCTTTGGCCTACACATGGCCATCAGCTCAAGGAGATTGCTATTGGCCCTGAAATCCTACCCAGATGTCTAGGACACCTTCCCTGATCTTCCTGGTCAGTCACAATCAACCTCCTTTGATCTCAAAGAGCCTTGCATACCCCCCTCTAATTTACTGGAAACGTGTCATCAGGATTAATTTTCTGCTTGTGTCTTATCTTCGTAGACTGTGAGCTCCATGAGGACAGCACATCAGCCACTACAGCTCATGAAGGACATTGATAAGAGGGTTAAAAGAGGATGGCAAAGGGTCTCGAGTCTGTGTCACTGAAAGAACAATGGAAGGAACTGGGAATGTTTAGCCTGGAGAAGAGAAGACTGGGAGTGGGGTGGGGGTGTCTAAGTATTTGAAGAGCTACTCTATGGATTATTGGACTTGTTCTGTTTGGCCCCAGAGGAGGAAGTTGTAATGAGACAATCTGGGCCAGATGTCAGGAAATACTTTCTAACGGTAAGAGCTGTGCTGAAAACAGAATGGATTGCCTCAAATGGTACATAATCCAGTCTAGAATTTTCCAAGCAATCAAAGTCAAGTTCAATTATTCAAAGATTTTGTTGTTTAAAGTTACTACCCAATCTGTCCCTACACACACACACCCCTTTTTTTTCCCAAAAAAATCAAGACATTTGGTCATTGAGTTCAACCCCTCCCCCATTTTACAGAAACTGAGAAACAGGTAGTAAGTGGCCGAGCTGGGGAAGTGAAAAGTCTAGATCACATGATTTGAGTTGGTCATTGGGTCTGACCCATTTCTGAAAGGAATCCCCACCTCTGATTGGAGACCTCCAAGGAGGGGCTGGCTGATTCACTTGTCAGGTATATGAGAGTGGAGGTTCCCAGATCTGTCATTACCTGTGTGACTCTGGACGTATCACTGAACCTGCCTAGACTCAGTTTCCTCATCTGTAAAATTAGGGTTGTGGTCCCAGATGGCCTCTGAGGGCCCTTTTAGTCCTTCAGTCTGTGATCCTGTGGTTTCTCTGACCTTAGACAAAATAGGTGCTTAATACTATGTTATCTACTGTTGAATGAGCCAGTCAAAAAGGGTCTACTCCATACTAAGAGGACTTTGCTGAGAGAATGACCCACCTATCAGGTCTGTGTGGGAGGAGAGAACTCAGCAACTTGTCCAGAGCTTGTCTGTGACACCAGAGACCCACTCACAGGACACAGATATAACTCTGACTGTAGCCCCTCAGAGAAATCACCTCAATTGGGCTGGGCCCAGGCCTACCTGTCCCCCGGCGCCGAATCCCATCTCTCAGGAAAGATCTCCAGCTGTCCTGGGATTCTACCGTGTCCATGCACAAGCAGAGGGGCTGTCGGAAAGGGTGGCAGAGATATATGGGAAATCCCAGAGGGGGCTCAATGATTGGATCTGGATCTTGAATGGAATGGTTCCCTGGAAAAAAGAAAGGCTCTAGACTTCACCCTTGTCTTAGAGTCAAGAAGAAAATTTGGCTTCAATCTCTCGAGCCATACAACCAATCCAGGACAAATTAAGAATGTCCTTATGCATAAGGTGTGGGGAAAGGAAGGCCATCTTGCTTTTAAAATTGGCCTCGCAGCTTTCTTTTCATGACAAGGGGTCTCCAAGCCTCTGAGTGCCCTTCTTCTGAGGCTGGTGAGGGAAACTAGAAACAAATGATGACGGTCTGTCTTTGCCCAGTCCTAGCCCTGCCCACCTCAAAGGACTGTTGTTGGAAAGCGCCTTGTAAACCTTACGGGCACCACAGGAATGTGAGCAGTTGTGATTATTCTCTAGTGGCAAAGTCTTACCCGTTGACCCCTGATAGAGACATTCCCTCCATGAGGCCACTAGTGTGTAACCAGTCAAGGCAACAGACCCCTGTGGCTCTTCACCACATTTCTGCTCCTAGAAAGAGAGCCAAAGGGACTTTTCAGAAATTTTCTTAACTGTAAGTTGCTCTCTTAGGAAGATTAGCAGCTATCAAGGCAAAAACTCTCCCAAATATTCATTCATGGCACACTTTCGATGAAGCATCATGGAGGCAGCATGGTGCCTTAGCAAGAATCTTGAAAATAAGAAGATCCAGGTTCTAGTTCCAGATCTGCAGGATTTTAATTTTCTGTGTCACCTTAAGCAAGTCACTCTCCAATCTCTGGGCCTCAGTTTCCTCATCTGTAAAATGAAGGGGTTGGATTAAAAGGCCTAAACCCTGCCAACTCTAGTGTTTTTGCCACTGGACCCAGATGACTCTGAAGGAGAGAGGAAGGCTGGTGATTTTGCATAGCTCTGCTTCACTTAAATCCAATTTACTGGCAATTCATGACGCCATCTTCCTGATGTCATTGGTCCTCTTTGAAAACAAAGAATAAACAAAAACAACAATAATAACAATGGCAACAACAACAATTCCCCACCCCACGTATGCTATATTCCAGCTAACCTGGACTACTTCCTATCTCTGCACATACCCTGAAGTTCCCCATCTCTGGACTTTTCCTCCTAGAATGCCTCTTCAAATTCTTATTGATTTTTTTTCCCAAGGCAATCAGGGTTAAGTGACTTGACCAGGGTCACACAGTTAGTGAGTATCATGTGTCTGAGTCCAGATTTGAACTCAGGTTCTCCTGACTCCAGGGCCGGTGCTCTATCCACTGTGCCACCTAGCTGCCCCATCTTATTGATTTTTTAAAACTCAAATGTTACCTCCTGGAGGAAATGTTCATGGATTCTTCCTAGTTGGAAATTATTTCAATCCTTATACCATACTCTGGCATCAAAAAGCCAGTGTTAACTATATATATATATATATATATATATATATATATACATACATATATATATATATACACACACACACATATATATACATATATACATATATATATACACATATATATACATATATACATATATATATATCATCCTATGTCTTCATCACTTATTATTTTGTATGATAATTATCCTCTTGCTAGACTCCAGCCACTATGAAGGCAAAGACCATTCCTTATTGAAATTTCCCACCACCTCTGTTTATCAGGATCCCAAGATCACAGCATTAGAGGTGAATCGGATCTCAAAGGTCCTACCCTCTCATTTTATAGAAGAAGAAACTGAAATCCAGAGATTGGTGAGTGACTTGCCCAAGGCTACTCAGAAACTTAGTTATGAGTCCAGGACTAGGACTTGAGTCTAGGACTAAGACCAGAGAGGATAGATGTCCTGCCCAAGGTCATGCAGTCACTAAGTGGAAGAGTCAATATTTGAACTCACTCACGTCCTCTACCTCCAAATCCACTTTTTATTGATTAATTAAACATTTGCTGAATTTAAATACAAGAATTGGTGTTCTGTTAACCTAAAGTTTCTGTGGAGACAAGGTGACTTGGGAATGGGGGTTGGGGAGGGACATGTGAGCAAGCCCACTCATATCTGGGGAAGAATGGCAGCTACAAAGATGAAAGCTTCTTACCTGGCTGTCCCACTCACAGGTATTTGGCACTAATTCCACTCCAAGAGCCTCTCATTCTCACCCTGAAGTGCCCATAGTCAGAAGGGTACCACTGAGAGCATGTATTTGATCTCTGCCTTTGACTTAATGATGGACTTCAGGCATCTATATCTTAATTGGGATTAAATTGCTATTCAATTTGATTCAACCCAAGAAAAATCTATTAAGTAGCTATCATGTGTATGGCACTCTACTAGGTACTGGGAATAAAAAAAAATGAAACATTCTCTGCCCTCAGAGAGCTTACATTCTATTGGATGTGGTGGTAGAGGCACACTATGTATATAAACTAAGTATAATGCAAGGTAATATGAAGAAAAAAGGGCTTCAAACTACTGGAAGGGAAGGAGGATAAAGGAAGGCTTCATGAAATACATGGCCTTTCCATTGAGTCTTGAAGGAAGACGAAGATTTTAGGAGGAAGATGAGGGGAAGCATTGTAGGCATGGGGGATGGATTTTACAAACGTGACAGATAGAGTGTCCAATTCAGGGAATGGCTAGGATCTGAGTCTGGCTGGAGTGGAGAATTTGTGAAAGGAGTAGGGTAAAATGAGGCTAGGGGTGGTAGAGTGTCAGAGGGCCTTAACCACCAGGCTCAGGAATACGCATGTTATTCTAGAAGCAATGGACAGCTACTGGAGGTCTTAGCGTAGGGGAGTTACATAGTCAGCGGGTTTCAAATGCTGTGTTGGTTTGAGTTATTGAATACCTAGCTCAACACAGCCCCATGGAATGCTTAGTCAATATGAACTGACCTTCTGAATGAGGCCATTCCTGTCCCGCCAGCTGCTGGTACCTTCCTTTCCAAGGTTACCCAGTATTTGATTTGCATTTTGAAGGTATGTACTTATGTATACACAATTACCTCTCCCGTTAGAATATAAGCTCCTTGAAGGCTATTCCCTCTTGTCTATTTCCTCCTGTCTTTGTATATGTGCTCGGTATATAGTAAGCACTTAATAAATGTTTGTTAATTGATTGGGACTACAAAGTTCAAAATCCTTCAGAAATTATTTTAAATGGCAGAGGAGCTTCTAGAAAAACCAAAGTGACCTTCCAAATAGAAAATATAACCAACGACAAGAACTGTTCAAATTTCCTCCTCTGTAAGTGGAGGGGTTTGGCCAATGAGTTCTAAGGGGCCTCCCAGCTCTGACTTTCTATGACCATTGGACAAGGGGACCATTGGACATGGTGCCTGAGACAATGAGAATGGAATATCCAAACAAATAGTAATAATAATGAGAGTAATGATTCATAAAAAATAGGAGAGAGCCACAGTATTTGAAGGTTTACAAAGCTTTTGCCTCACAAAGGTTCTCTTCTATTTTTTATGAATCATTACTCTCATTATTATTACTATTTGTTTGGATATTTATTGATTACGAAACTGGGGCTCCCAAAGGTTAAAGCTCAAAGCTACATCCTGGGCAGGTATAGAAGTCAAGATTAGAACCCAGTGCACAGGGTCATAAGTCAGAGCTGGAATGGACCTTAGAGGTCATCTAGTCCAACCTCATTTTGCAGATGAGATAACTGAGACCCAGAGAGGTCCCAAAAAGGAGCCCCTCCCTTCCTCCCTCTGATTGAAGAGGGCAGAAGACCAACATTGGAAAGCTCATTCTAGACTCTCCACTATTTAAGGGTGGCACACAGGGAATTCGCTTCAGCATTTCCCACCAGGCTACTTTCCTGAATGCCATCCTCTCCAGAAACTCATCATTCTACAAGATGAAATCAGCTTGGAAACTCATGTCTTTTTAGATTATTTTCCATCATGACTACATGACTTCATGTAGTCCCCCCCCCCTTCCAGCTTCTTCCCCTATTCGATTGTGAGCTCTCAGAGGGCAGGCCTTATCTTAGGCCTTTCTTTGTACCTCCAACACTTAGGACAGTGCCTGGCACATAGTAGGTGCATAATAAATGCAGAGTCTGATTCCGACTCTGACATGGCTTCCCCAAAGTCATACCAGTAGCAAGGAGCAAGAGAGACCGCTAGCTCAATGTCTGGCATTCTTCCCACTACTGCCTCTGCAAGGAACTTACTGCAAGGGGTCTAGAACCAAGAGTTCAGCTTGGCATCGGCATTGGCATTGGTGTTGGCATTGACATGGACACTGGCACTGGCAGATCCAACTGAAAATAAGGAGGACGCTTTTACCTCTTTGCTGCCAAACCACACTAGAGAGGAGTCTCCACGTAGAACATAGTAACTCTCCCTCCACTTCGGGGAGGTCCCTTGCAAATGGGTCAGGATCCCCTCATGCATCACGGCCCGGGGAGGCTTCTGAGAAGAGAAACTTGGTCAAAAGTGGCATCATATCAAGTGACATCTCTTAAAAAAACCCAGCACAACAGAGAGAGCCTTCCATTCTGCTCCCCCACATTCCAGACTCCCTGGGGCTGCCGCAGCTGCATACCAGTGGTTTTCCAAACACATGGAGGCTATTAATGCCTGTACTTAAAGACAGCTGAGCTAAGGAAGCAATCTACCATCTCTCCAGAGATCTGAGGCAAAAGCAGCAGAGCATGAACCTGCATCCACTTCACCTGATGCTTTCAACATATATCCCCACAACCAAAGGATAGCCCTTTATGAAGTAATGATTGACTTAGAGACTTTTTTTGCAGCACCCTGGAAGGGGAGGGAGGGTCCTGGTTCCTCTTCCCACCAATGTGTTGGGTCTCAAAGAACAACCATTTGGGGCCATCCTGTGCCATCCTTTCCTTTTAGAGGCAGGAGAAATGCACCAGGGGACTCCAATAGCCTTACAAGCTACACAAATACTATTTCCAACATCTTCCCCGCCCCAATCCTGGAAAGGAATAGAGCATCAGTGATACCACTACTAGGCATCTACCCAAAGAGATCAAAGGAAAAGGAATCACATGAACAAAAACAATGTACAGCAACTCTTTGCAGTAACCTGGAAGCTAAGGGGGAATGGCTAAATAAGCTGTGGTACAGAAATGTGTCATAAGATTGGAATATTGTTGTACTATAAGAAATGATGAAAAGAATAGTTTCAGAGGAAACCTCCATGAACAGACTGAAATGAGCAGAACAGAAGAACAATTCACATGACAACAACATTATCAAGGAAAACATCTTTGAATGAGAACATCAGGCCAACGGAATGATAAAGCTGGAGTCCACAGGCCTGAACATGCTACCCGCCTCCTGCCAGAGAAAAGTGATGGGCTTAAAATGCAGAATGAGAAAGACATTTTTGGACATGGCCAATGTGGGACTTTGTTTTACTGGACTATCCCTGTTTGATATGAGGATCTTGTTTTTATTTTTTATGGTTCAATGGGTGAGGGGACGTGGAAAGGGACAGATGAGAAATAGTTGTAAAAAAATTAAGTATTTTTGAGCTAAAATTTAAAAAAAAGGAATAGACTAAGCAAGAGTGTTACAACTAGACACAAAAAGAGAGTTCAGCATAGAAGAGGGCATTATCTCATCCTCCAAAGCCTCTGACATCTGAGGGTTGATGAGCTCCCAACCTCAATGTCCTTTTTCCTCACCATGTGAGGAGGTTGCGCTGGGACACTGTGTGATCTCCATCTTCTGTATGCTTGAAGAACCCTGGACCCATAGAAGCCTCTGGAGGAAAACCATCCCACCCAAGGGAACCTTACCCACTTTATCCCAACCTGTAGCATGCTCAGGATCAATGCCCACTTCATGCCAACCTAGAACCTCCCCAGGATCAGCACCTACTTCACTCTTTAATAGCTGGAATCCCGTCTGTCCCTGGGGTGTCATCTCTCTTGAGATTTGCCTCAGGAAGGCCATAGCAAGTTGCCTTCGGTAATGTGGCATGAAGTGATTCAGGAAAGCACCTGTCCGGCCTGGGAAGGGACAAAGAACAGGTACAAACACTAGCTGATATCCTTTCCTTCCAGCTGACCTCACTTTATTTTGGGCTAGTTGGAAGCCCGCTCACAGGCCCCAGGGACTATGCCCTGTTATCCCTCTTGCTTTTGACAGGTCTGTAAAACCCATCCCAGGCATGATCTTATTTTTTTTCTTCTTTGGTATGGCAGTTGGGATTAAGTGGCTTGCCCAAGGTGTCAAACAGCTGGTAGATATCAAGTATCTGAGGTCAGACTTGAACTCAGGTCCTCCTGACTCCACAGCTGATGCTCTATCTACTGCACCACCTACCTGGTCCCCATGATCTTCTTTATACCAAGTTAGGGAAGTTCATGATGGGCAGGACACCTTCCACTTGGAATCTTGGTGACTAGATACATGTGAGACAGAACTGCTCCCATGAGGCTTTCATCCCCAATTGTCCTAATCCCGCAAAGATCCGAGAGGCTGGATGCAGGTGACTTGAGAGCAAATCTTTCTCCTCAGCATCCCTGAGAAGCACCATCTAGCAGATGATGCAGGAATGAGAGCCTGGCAAAGGGGCTTATGGTTAGGGATCCTAATACTAAGAGAGAGAGCAAAAGTTTCTTCCAATTCACTTATCCAGCTATTTGAAATCATAAAGAGTTTGGGAAAGGAGGGGAGGAAAGATCACAGAAAACCAATTTCATGGAGAGTAAAGCTGGAGAAAAGGAAATAAATAAACATTTGTTAAGCACCTACTATGTGCCAGGCATTATGTTGAGCACTTTACAAATATTATCTCATCTGATCCCCAAACACCCCCCTGAGGTAGGTGCTATTGTTTCCATTTTACAGGTGAGAAAACGGAGGCAAATAGAGGTTAAGTGACTTGCCCAGGATCACACAGTCGAGAAGAGTTTGAGGTCAGATTTGAACTCACATCTTCCTGACTCCAGGGCCAGCACTGTAGCCACTGCACCACCTAGCTGATTTAGAGCCAGAAGACTTGGCTCTGAATCTCAGCTCCACCACTTATTCACTGTAGGACAAGTCACATCCCGTCTGTTTCTGTTTCCTCATCATCTCCATTTCATAGATAATAACATCCTTATTCCCTCACAGGGTTTGTTGCAAGGATCAAATGAAGTATGGAAGTAAGGGCTTGGTAAGCGATAAAGCCTTTTATAAATATCAGCAATATTTATAAATCATTACTATTTTATAAATACTATTTATAAAATATATACATACTATAAATTACTAATTTATAAATACTATTTATAAATCATTACCTTTTTTTTTTAGGCAATTGGGGTTAAGTGACTTGCCCAGGGTCACACAGCTAGTCAGTGTCAAGTGTTTGGTCTGAGGCCGAATTTGAACTCAGGTCCTCCTGACTTCAGAGCCAGTGCTCTATCCACTGCACCACCTAACTGCCCCATTACTATTTTAATTGTATATTTTTGTATATTTTAAATTGCATATTGTGTCATCTTTGTATGTTTTTGATATACAGAATAACCAGATTTGACTCTGAGGTCAGGCTCAGCTGGTTGCTGGACCATCAATTCCATGCCTAGCTCTCCCTCCATCTACACATTCCTTCCTTCCAAAACCAGACCGTCAGAGACACCCCAAGGAATCCAAGTGATCAGCAGCCTACATGATCGTTACTGGATGTTTACTCCTGACAGGGGGAGCTGCAAACTTAGAGCCACAAATTCCTGAAAACCAGGCTGGGCTTGAGGAAAGACCATTCAGCCAATGTTGCTCTAGCAATAGCCCGTCACCTAGGAAGCATGCCTGCCCTGCGAAGTCCAACAGCCTCAGCCTGAGTGATTTGTCAAGGGCGTTGGCAGGGAGGCTTCCAGGGTCTTTCTTTTTGTGGGTAATCTCATCTCCGGCACTTGGCACGGTGCCTGGCATATGGTAACTCTTTAATAAATGCTTGTTGACTGACTGGGTGATGGCTGACACCCCTTCAGACCCCAAGATTCTATGACTTCACCCCTCTTACCCCCCTTCTTCTGCTCAATTGACTGTCAGCAAAGAATCGTGATTCCAAATGCTTTTTCTCCCTCCAAACTCCAAAAAGCTCTCTTCCCATGCATGAGCTAGTAGGGGCTAGTTTAGACAGGATCCTGCAGTCCACATGTGGCTGGCATATAAACTATAGTCACACCCAGGGTTTGGTACTCGAAGGAATTTCTCGTGTTGGAGCCAAGAACATGTCCCTGTCTCCTTGCAGATAATGGGGCCCAGGGCAATGCGGAGTGGCAGCTCTGAGTCACAGTCCAAATGTCAGCGGAGGAGAGAAGGTGGGGGCAGGGCGGAAGGAGGGAGGAGGAAAAGGAGACTGAGAAAGTAACAGAGAGAGTGGGAGAGACAGAGAGATGGAGAGAGACAGAGAGAGACAGAGACAAAGAGAGAGACAGAGAGAAGGAAAGGGAAAGAGAGACAGAGAAAGAGAATAGGAGAAAGAAGAGAGGAGAGGAGGGAGACTGACTAACATTCACTGGTTTGACTTGAGACACCCTATCCAGGTTCTCCACAGGGCTCTGGAAATAATACGTGACAATACCTTCAAACACATCCTCTCTTGTCCTTACCTCTCAGGTACCGGCACTGTCTCTCCCCCAGGTGGCTTGAGCTCTGTGCACCCATCTTGTTCGTTCCAGGTGGGCTCCTCCACTGCTTCGTTAGAACAGAATAACTGCTTAGAGAATCCCACTCAGCCCTGAGGGCACCTCCTGATTGGCAACTCAGATAAGTTAAATGACTGGGTAATTTCTCTGGGATAGAACAACTCCTGTGGTCAAAGCTCTAATAACATAAAGGCCTTAGAGCAGGCTTCCTCTAATTCAGTTCTAGCAATCTTTTATTAAAATCCTGTGACTCTAAGCCACCAGGTCCTGATGTGCCACCCAAGCAGAGCCAAGTCTGCAACAAGAAATATTTGGGGGGGGAAACTGAAGCCCTCCTTGATTGTAGTAAAAAAAAAATGGTCTCAGTCACTCCATGAGAGAAGTGAACCTTGTATTGTGGGTGGGGGACTCCAAAAAATTGTTAAATCTCTGGAGACATGTCAGAGAGGGGCGTGTAGGTGTGTGTGGGGGGACTGGCTCTCATCACGGGATGTTATGGCCACATCTGCCAACCACAGGAGCTTCAGGGCAATAACCCTGCTGAGAGTACCCACTCTCTTAGAAAAAGAATTTGTGGTAAAGGTTTAAAAGAGAATAGTCAAAGCCTTCTTATGGCTTCTCAACCACCTTCCTGATCCTCTTCTCTGTGTCTGTGGCTGTCTCTACCTGTCCGTGGAGGCTGCCATGTCCACAAACTGGCCAGAGAGAAGGGAATGTGGAATGGACGACAGGGCAATTTTTAGTCTAAACTTTGTGAAGTCGAAGCATGTGTTTTGGTATCATCAGCTCCTTGGGGAGCAGCCCCACCCTGCACCTGTTTTCTGTTCTCTGTTTCCGCTAGAGATTTTCCAAAGCTGGTTATTTCCTCCAAGGTTGAGATGAGATCCTTCACAGGTGCACAAATGGTGATGAACACGTGTCCTCCTTCAGGGGCCGAATGACCAGCCCACGTAGGAACAGGCAAAAGAGAATGGGGTGAGTGGGAGAGAGAGATGTGAGAAAGGGAGAAATGAAAATACCAGGGTGTGGGACCAGATCTAACCAGTTACCTGGCCACAGGCTCTAGTCCATGCTCAGAGGGCAAACCTGGACCCAAGCAGATACTAACACCAAAATGCTTCCCTTGGTGTGAGTATGCCCAGAAAAGTGAGCAGAACTGAAGTTGTGCCATCATGCCCCCCCAGCTCAGCCCTTCAGAGAACACAGGGAATCTGCTCTTGGGGCACATGCCAACACAGCACTGAGAATCCCAGCAGGACCAAGCAGCTTTGTGTGGCACAGGGGGTCGGGGTTTACTGCCTTAGCCACCAGCACAGTATCCCCTCTGTTTTGTGACCTGCCCTCACCCACCCCTCCCCGTGCCATCTTTTGTGATCCTCCCGGAACGATCTCCTCCCCCTCCTCTGTGTGATAACAACCAGGAGAAAGTCCCCTCTGCTTTGTGACCTCCCCTCCTCCCTACCAGGATAGTGTATCTCTCTCCAGGCCTCTCCCCTTGGGTCCTTTCGTTGGGTACTGTCATCAGGAAGTTTGAGGCTGGATGGGTGTTCCAGCACCGACCATTCTCCACAAAGCTCTCCTGGGTCCAGCTTCCCCATCACAGTGGCAAAGGACTTGGCACTAATCTTCAGCTTCTGGATTTTCCCCATCCGTCCCCCACTTCACAACTCTCGTCCCTTGGTCCCTTGCCAAGTCTCGCCTGCATATCTACCAAATCTTCCCCGTTCATATGCATCCCTCTGGCTGCTCTTGGGCTGTGCTCCGGTGACCTCTTACCTAGTTAATCATAGAGAACTAGAAGTGGTCTCAGGGATCATTTAGCTTAGGATTTCTTACCTGGGGTCTATCTACTTGAGTGGGGAAATAATTACATCTTTATTTTCATTAACCTCTGGCTTCTTTTGTAATGCTCTGCATTTTATTTTATGCACTTGAAACATTATTCTAAGAAGGGGTCTTTGTGTTTCACCAAAATGTCAAAGGTATCCATGACATGAAAAAAAAACTCAAAACTTAAGAACATCTGATCTACAACATCTCACACCATGTACCAAGATAAGGTCAAAATGGGTACATGATTTAGACATAATGGGTAAATATCATATGCAAACTGGGGGAACATAGAATATTTCACCTGTCAGATTTATGGATAAGGGAAGAACTTATAATCAAAGAAGAGATAGAGAACATTATGGGATGTAAAATGGATAATTTTGATTACATCAAATTGAAAATTTTTGCACAAACAAAACCAATGCAGGCAAGATTAGAAGAAAAGCAGGAAACTGGAAAAAATTTATAACAAAAGTCTCTGATAAATGCTTTATTCCTCAAATATATAGGGAACTGAGTTAAACTTATAAAAATGAATCATAGGGACAGCTAGGTGGCACATGGATAGAGCTCCAGTGTTAGAGTCAGGAGGACCTGAGTTCAAATCCGGTCTCAGACACAACACACAACACTTACTAGCTGTGTGACCCTGGGCAAGTCACTTAACCCTGATTGCCTAGCAAAAAGCAAGAAAAAAAATGAGTCATTCTCCAATTGAGAAATGGTGAAAGGATACAAACAGGCGATTTTCAGAAGAGAAAATCAAAACTATCTAGAGGCATTTGAAAACTAAATCACTATTGATTAGATAAATGCAAAATAAAACACCTCACACCTATCAGATTGGCTAATGTGATAGAAAAGGAAGATGACAAATGTTGGAGGGGATGTGGAAAAACAGAGACACTAATATATTGTTGGTGGAGTTGTGGACTGATTCAATCATTCTGGAAAGAAATTTGGAACTATGCCCAAAGGGCTATAACACTGTGTATCCTTTGATACATCAATATCACTGCTAGATCTGTATCCTAATGAAATCAAAGACAAGGGAAAAGGACCTATATATACAAAAATATTTATAGCAGTTCTTTTTTTGTGGTAGCAAAGAATTGGAAATTGGAGGAGTGTCCATCAACTGGGGAATGGCTGAACAAGTTTTGGTATATGATTGTGAAAAAATAGTATTGTGCTATAAGAAAGGATGAGCAGAATGCTTTCAGAAAAACCTGGGAAGACATACATGAACTGATGCAAAATGAAATGAGCAAAAGCAGAACATTGTACACAGCAACAGCAACATTGTGTGATGATTAACTATGATAGACTTAGCTATTTTCAGCAATACAATGATACAAGACAATTCCAAAGGACTTATGATGAAAAATGCTATTCACCTCCAGAGAAAGAACTGATGGAGTCCGAATGCAGATTGAAGCATACCTTTTTTATTTTATTATTCTTGGGGGGGGGGGTTTGATCTACCTTTTCTTTTTCAACATGGATAATGTGGAAATGTTTTGCATGACTGCACAAATGTTTTGCATGACTGTATCAAATTGCTTCCCTTTTCGAAGAGGGAGAAGGGGAGAGAGGGAAAGAATACGAAACTCAATTATTTTTTAAAATGAATTAAAAATTTTTGTTTAAATTTGTTTAAATTTAATTGAGAAAAAATAAAAATTAAATGTAAAAGAATATCTGGTCTAGGACTATCCCCTTATTTTACAGATGAGGAAACAGAAAATCTTCAGAGGAAGGAAAATGACTTGCCCAAGGTCACAGGGCTGGGACTAATTTCAAGCCCAGTGTTCTTTCTGCTTACATCATACCGAGAGAATCTCCTCTAGCGTCAAGCCACTCTACTCTCAACCCTTACAACTCGTGTCCTCTGCAGCAGATCTGCCCTTGTCACATACCCCACACCCATCAGTCAGTTCAGGCACAGAATTAGAGATTCCCACCTTCAGCCTCAACTCTCGGACACCTCTTCCTCTTGTCCTTCCAGGCTTGTCTGCTTCAAGCCTCTTTCATACTTAGGAAGACCATTGTGGTCCATGATTGCGATGAAATGCTATTGTGCTATGAGAGATGACAAGTAGGATGGTTTCAGAGAAACCTGGGAAGACTTGTATGAACTCATGCAAAGTAAAGTGACTGCCACATGTGAATTCCCTCGTGGGATCCCTCAAGCCTTTACTATTTGGCTTTTGTTCCTACCATTCAATTGAAACTGCTCTCTCAAAGGTCACTTGCCCCCTCCTCTGACTTTTGGCTTCATTTGACCCTGTTCACATTCATCCTCTTCATTCTGATACCATCTGCTCTCCTAGCTTCCATGATACTGCTCTTTCCTGGCTCTGCCTCTATGTTGGTTCATGCTTTTTTTCTTGCCCCTAAGTGTGTATCTATCCCCTGCCTTAAGTCTTCACCAAAGAAGAAAGTGTAGTCAGGGAGACCTCACTTACTCCTATGACTACAGTACCTACAACTACCTGTATGCAGGGGGTAGCTAATAATTACCTCCCATCCCACTTCCCCAAAAGCTACAACCCTACACCGCCACTTGCCTGCTAGACATGTCTATCTGGTTGTCCCAGCAGTATACAACATCCCCTACATGCCCCTACCTTCCTCCCTCCGTCTTCTCACACCCATTAATGGCTCCACCTTCTTCTCAGTCACCTAAGCTCCTAAACTTTCTGATGTTTCCCTTTCTGCCACCCCCAGTATTTCATCAGTTGTGAAGTCATATGGACTCAATCTTTTCAGTAATATCTCATCCCAACCATCTTCTGACAGATGCCCATCAACTGTGGAATAGTTGAACAAGCTGTGGTATATGGTTGTAATGGAATAGTATTGAGCTATAAGAAATGACAAGCAGGATGGTTTCAGAGAAACCTGGAAAGACTTACATGAACTCACATAAAGTGAAGTGAGCAGAACCAGAACATTGTGCACAACACCAATATTGTACAATGATCAACTGTGAAAGGCTTCACTTCCCTGATTAAGACAATGATCCAAGACAATTCCAAAGGGCTCATGAGGAAAAATACCATCCAACTCCAGAGAGAGAACTGATGGACTATGAATGCAGATTGAAGTATACTTTTTAACTTTCATTTTTATTATTTTATTTTCTTTGTGTTTTCTTTTGCAACCTGGCTAATATGGAAATATGTTTGGTATGATCTCACATGTATAATTGAAATCAAATTGCTTGCCTTCTCAAGGAAAGGGGAGGGACAGGAGAGAGAGAATTTGGAAGTCAAAATTTTTTAAATGATTCAATTTTTTTACATGTAATTGGGAAATATTTAACAAAAAATAATTTTTTTTTTAAAAAAAGACAGTGTGGAGGGTGGAGCAAAGAAAACACTGTATTGGCTGTCAGGAAACAGGACTTCTAATTCCATCTGGCCAATTACTAACTGCATGATCTTGAGCAAGTCACTTGACTTCTGAGTTTCGTTCTTTTTAAAAAATCTGTAAAATGGTGATATTACCTACCTCAAGGAGTAAATTGTAAGGATCAAATAAGTAAAGTGCTTTGGGAGAAAAAAACCTGTCCCTTGATTAGGTGTGGGGGCTGGCAAGGAGGAAAGAGTCAGAAATGATTTCAAGTTTAGGAGCATGGCTGGGTGCCTGAGATGATAGAGCCTTCAACAGAATTAGAAAAGGGTGTGAGAAGAGGTAGGGGGGACGTCAAGATAAGAGGACAGTCTATGTTACTGGAAATTCTGGTCCTTACTATCACTCTCCTAAACTACTCTAATAGCATCTTAACTAGCATTCCCATTGGCAGTCTCTCCAATTCATCTTTCATAAGCTATTAAAATAATTATCCTAATGCTGTGACCATGCCACTTCCCCGATCAGGCTTGCAGTAGCTCCCTATTGCCTTTACCATCAAATACTCCAAACTCTGGCTCCATTTAATCTCCTATCCTTATTTCACACTGGTCTTCTCTGTGCAGTGTCAGCCAAACTGAACTATTAAATGTTCCCAATGTTACCTATCCCCTCACCCTTCATCTTTCCCTATTCACATTTTCCTTTGAAGCCCAGCTGAGGTACCGCATCCTTCACCCTCCCCAACAGCTAAGACCTTGGGCCTCATGGCATTTTTCTTGCTCTACTCTTTCCCCCCCATCCTCCTCCTTGCACCATTTATTTATATATAGGCTGTAGAACCCTTACTGGATTGGGAGCTCAGTGAAGGCCAAAACGATGTGGTTTTTCACGTTTGTATTTCAGTCCCTTCTAGAACAATACCCAGCTCTGAGGAGGCACCTAACGAAGGTTTATCGACGTGATTTTAAGAACCATCCCAGGGTGGCTGTATGAACCATCACAAGGCACAGTGACCAGGTATCGCCTGATGGAACAGCACCTCGAGGACCTTCCCTGGGAAATGGCTGACTAAGCAGCGCCCATCAGAACCTGCCCCACTGGCCAGCCAGGAGAGTCACCTACCACAGAGTACCGCCCCACCCCCAAACCCCACAATTTCCCCCATCCCTCGTCACAGACAGTCAAGAGTCTAGGAGACAGTTACAGAGCTGAAATTCACATTTTAATATTGGGTGGTCACACAAGAGAGACCATACACAGTTCATGAGCCTGTTCTCAGGCTCATTCACTCCCTCCCCAGGAGAGAGGACTGCTGCCCCACACCCGCTGGTCTTTGTAAAAATATCAAGAGAAAGATAAGGAAGCAGTGTGCAGAGGTCAACTCTGGGTCTGGCACATCTGGGCCCATCTGGCTACAAAATGGAATGCTTTTCAAATGGAATGGTCAGCTCTTTCGCCGCGGCCTCATCCAGGAACCAACACAGCCGCCCTGTGTGGGGCTGCACAAGCGCGGCGGGAAGCGGATTCTCCTCATCACCTTCCAGGATCCGCTGTTTCTCCATCCCAAGAGAAAGTGCATGAGGCCCAACCCCACCCCCAATTCCCAGACATTTCCCAAGGCCAAGAGAGGGAACATGAGGGCACCACGGGGTCCTTCCCCTTGACCTGGGGCATTCAGGCATAGGAGATCCCAGGCATTGCCATTCTGAAATCTTCTCACACCAGAGAACTTACCCTGGACAGTGTCTGTTCCCATTCCCTTCTAGGGACATCCCACAGTCAGATGTCCCCCCAACTCCCATTCCCCATTACTATCCCAGAACACAAAACTGTGACTGTTACCTTCAAAACAGCCGCTTTGCTTTCTCCTGTAGCCACAAACACGACCATTCGTGCTGCATTCAGTACAGGCAGAGTGAGGGTCACCCTCTCAGGGGGTGGCTTTGGGGAATCACTGATGGAGGCCACAATTTTTTCCTTCTCCTAGGGAAAATGAGTCCAAACAGCAAGACGAAATCATATGGCACCAGAGGAAGCAATCTATGGCCCTCAAACCAAACTCTGAGCTTGGAATGCTCTTGGCCTCCCTCCCAAACCCCAACACACACAGAGCCTGTAATGGGGCTGATTAGCTTCAACCCCATAAATTGGTGCCCTTGGCATCCTGGAAACCACCACCCAGTCCTAGGCTTAGGTCAGCAGTAGCTGGTATAGCCTAGCTCAACCCAACTACCAAAGCTGGCTTACCTGAAGGAGTGGGTGATCAGGGAAAAGGGAACATGTATGCCCATCAGGTCCAACACCCAAAATCAGAAGGTCAAAAACTGGGATCGTATCACCTTGAAAGGCCTGAGGGAGAGGAACAAACACAAGAAAGGCCACCCCTGTACCAGTCAGATGCCCGGCCCGGCCTCTGCCAAGTGAAAGGTCCTCGCTTTTGTGTTCAGAGACTCTGACTAAAGGCCTGTGGTGTCCCGGGAGCACAGTGGAAGGAAAGACAAGAGATGGAGACACTTCTGAGACTGAACACAAGCTTCTCCTGAATCAGCTTTTCTTTAGAGCACTTTTTGGACCTCTCACATGTGACTTACAACCTTGCAAATTGGGACTGTGGCATAATTATGATGTCTGTTTTATAGAGGAGAAAACTAAGACTCAAAGGAGGCAAAATAAGCTGTCATGGGGCTAAGACATGGCGAGGTAAGATTAGAATTCATCTCCACCAGCCCCCTACGTCCACACTCTAGCCTCCAAGCCACGACCTTAGCAGAGCCAAGCCATGACCACATCAGTCCTTTCAGGCCTAGGTTACTGAGCATGTTGGGCTGGGCCTCCTCCTCAGGCAGGGGGCCTTCCCTTCCATGCAGGAAGTGCTGCTGCTGCTGCTTGCTGTCACACAGCCAGATATGCTCAGGACACAGCTACATTATTAGTCTTTCTCAAAGAACCAGCTTTTAGTTCTATTTATCATTTCTGTGGCCCCCTTATTATCTATTTCTCCTTTAATTGTTAGATCTTCCTCCCTTTGTACTTCTTTTTGGGTTCTAGTTGTTGATTCTCTAGTTTTTTTTTTAAAAAAAACTGCATACTCAGTTCATTAATCTTCCTCTTCTAATTTGTTAATGTATATTTTCATACACTTATTTTTTTTCTCTGAGGCCAGCTTTAGCTACATTCCCCCAAATGTTGTCTCACTGATACCATTCTCTTTCACATAATTATTAATTATTATTATGATTTGTTCTTTAACTCAATTATCCTTCAGGATGCTACTGTTAGATCTTCATTACAATGGAAAAGTCTTTTTCCTGGACACTTTCAAAAATTATTGTTTGGCATAAAAACCATGAAATTTAGCTGCTATATGCTTTGGAGTTTCAAACAAGGGGTTTTTCTCTGGAGGTGATATGTGGATTTAATCAAACTGTATTTAATTTTCTCTATTTAAAAGTTCTGAGCAGTCTTAGCTCTTTTTCCTGCAGTGCGGTTTTTAATTTATCCTGTTCTTCTGGGAGAGCTATGATTTTTAAGTTATCTCTGTATTTTCTTCCACTTCTGCTTTTTAAAAAATTCCAAATCTGTCATATTCCATTTGACAACCTCTATTCTTTTTAGAGAGATTCACCATCATATTTTCAATGGGGCAATCCCCTACTGGGGAAAAGGGACAAGGTCCAATCTGGATCTGAGTAACACTAAACAAATCAGACCACACAGGTCCCAGGGTTTCTCTGAAGTGCCCAAATCCAAAGGGTTAGAATGGAAGCAGGAAGTGGGTTGCAGGAATGGAGAGCTGTTCTAGGGAAATTAGTACAGGCAGTGCCAGGGAGGCGATTGTTTGTCTGATTCAATTTGTTTCTCCAAAATCCTGAAGCATAAGCTTATGAGGCACGGGTTAGGCCAGGCAGGCTGCAAATACTGAGTAAGATCTCTTAGTACTTCAGTCATCTAGTGTTATTTCATGATTGTTGTAAGACAGACTTTCTTCCTTATTATTTCGTAGATTCTATACTAACTATTCCAGATTTGGTTCATTATTTTCTTTCTTTTGATAACTGTTAGCCAGGATCTTGTTCATTACCTGCCTCACTATTACTGAATTCCAGGCTCCAAGTAGTCACTTCCCCATTCATATCTGTGTCCCCATGCAGGGCCCCCTGGGGAATGGAAGCCCAAGAGAAGGAATGAGCAGTGGACAAGGGTCTTCCCTGGGCTCCCCCGCCCTAAGCCCAATACTTACTTCTCGAAGCTTCTCTGCATAGTCTGAGGCAGCCTCTTCCACTGGGAGCACAGGGTTAATGGTGATTACCTGGCTCTCTGGGATAGGCAAGTTCGAAAGAAGATGAGTCTATGGCAGACAAAGAAAGAAAATTCAGCCTTAACCCACATCCAGGGCACAACAGCCAACCAATTATGTCCAGGCTTCAACTCCCTGCTTCTCTAAGGCAGGCACAGTCTATCCCTCCTCCTCCACTGTGGCTACCCCTAAAGAACCCACTTCCCAGGCCTCGATGTACCAGAGATTTGGCTGTCCTCATCTTAAGATGAAAAGCTTACTGTGGAGGGACCTTCCATGGGCTCTATAATCTGGTCATCACTGAATAAATAAACTAAAAGGCATTCATTAAGCGCTTAGTGCCAAGTGCTACAGACAAAGGCAGAAAAAGTAAAACAATCCCTGCTCTCAGGGAGCTCAGACTCTAACTGGGGAAGACAACGGATAAAATGCAATTCAGTGGCTCACTGCACACCCTGTAAGTCCTAAAACAAGGAAGGAATAAAAGGCAAGGCAAGGTCTAGGGTCCTTAGGATGCATTAGCAGGCTGGATAATATCACAGGAATGGAGATGGGGGAGGGAGGAAAGAATGGCAGGTCTAGAGGGTATAAAGGCAGGAAGATGGTAAGGCCTGGAAGTCCACCATCTCATGAAGAGGATTTGAGGTGGTGGGTTCTGGGCTGCCCAGGGTCAGAGGAGGAGGGGAAAGCAAGGCAAGGGGGAAGGGTTATAATCCCCTTCCTCCCAGGAAGAGGCTGGCCCCTTCACAGGACCTGAGAAGCCCGGATATGAGGGAAGTGGCAAAGAAAAGCCAAAAGATTCAACTTATTTCTCAGTTTGATCCTTTTATGACAACTATGGCCCTTCCCTGCCCACCCCCACTCTTCAACTCAGTTGTGCTGGCTTCTCTTCTCCTAAAACTCCCTCTCCTCCCATTCCCCATCCCCTCCGCTCCGAAAACCAAACCAAACCAAATCAAACCCTTGAGGCAAAGGTTTGGTGGGATGCCAGGGATAGAAAAGCTCTAATTCCAGTTGGATACAAAGTGAGAAGGATAATTACAGCCAGTAGATTATTTATTATCTGTGTGATGGGAAAAAAGACCTATCATTCTTACGGATACCACAGGCAGATCACCAGATTTAAACCTCTACGCTTTAGGGCTCCCTGATGGCAATCAGACCCGTTGGTACACTACTTTGCTACTAGGGTGCACTGAGAGGCAGGCTGATTGGTCTACAAATTCCCCAAGTAGTTACTGATGGCAAGAATTGGGATATTCAGACGCAGTCAATAAGCATTTATTAAGCACCTACCATGTACTAAGCAATGAGGATACAAAAAGAGGATAGTCCCTGCCCTCAAGGAGCTCACAATCTAATGGGAAAGACAAGTAAAGAAATGTGTGCAAGCAAGCTATATACAAGAGAAACAGGAAATAATTAAGAGAGGGAAGACACTAAAACCAAAAGGGGATGGGAAAGGCTTCCTGTATAAGATGGGATCTCCGCTGGGCCTTGAAGGAAGCCAGGAGGCAGAGATAAAGAAAGAAATGTCCAGGCATGGGGGACAGCCAGAGAGAACACTCTATACAAGAGAAAGGATGCCTGTGTCACTGGATCAAAGAGTAGGTGGCAGGAAGTAAAGTGTGAGAAGACTAAAAACTGAAGTGAGGAGTTCGAAGGAGACTTGTACAAAGTGATACGGAACAAAGAAAACATATCACGATAAATGCAGCCAACATTTCTAGATCGCTTTCAAAAGGTGTGCAAAGCGCTTTACAGATAGAATTTCACTTGATCCTCACAAGAATGATACACAAAAATGGAATCAACCCTAAGAGTACAGAGTGAATACAACGCCCAGCAGTGGTCCCAGAGGCCAAACACGTAACACAACCGGCTCAGTGGGAAGACTGCTGGCTCTGGAATTCGAGGGCCTATCAGTGAGACCTTGGGCCTTCCTCACTTGTAAAAGGAGGAGGTGGAACTAGATGGCCTCCGAGGTCCCTTCCAGCTCTGGGCCCAGAGCACTGTCCATGCTCAGATCCAGTTAATGTGTTAGCTGATTCTGCTTTACTTTTTTTCTTTGTTATAAAGGATAGGCCTATGGGTAGTAGGGTAGAGATGACTGGGAAGTGATTGCTGACTGAAACAAAAGGCATCCCTCCCTGCTAGGGAAAATCTGAGGAACTCTGGGTGTGGAACACTGAATACAAAGTCAAGCTTGCTTGATGCATTGGCTAGTTTTACGGAACTTTTTTTTTTCTTCAGATTTATTCTTTGTTATAAGGAATGACCAGGCTGCAGGTAAGGGGGAAAGGAAGGGGAGAACAAGCATTTCTATAGCACCTACTGTGCGCTGTGCTAAGCACTTTACAATTCTTTCCTCATTTGATCCTCACAGGAACCTTGGGAGTGAGGTGCTCTAATTATCTCCATTTTACAGTACAGAAAACTGAGGCCATTCAGTGACTTGCCCAGGGTCATATAGCCAGTAAGTATCTGAGCCTGGATTTCATCGAAGGTCTTCCTGATTGTAGGTCCAGTAGTCTATCCACTATGCAACCAACAAAAAATTTGATAAAAATAAAATAAGCCTCAACAATCATTAAAATGAGTTTGTATATACCACTAGTTAGCATTAAGGCTATTTATTGTTAACGTACAGCCCAGTTTCAATTATTCAAATCAGATGATAATATTTAGGCAAGTGTTGGTCAGATACACCTTCTTCAAGAAAGATCTGAGAGTGACCAAATGACATCTTGACATTCATACAGGTTGTTGGTGGTGGTGGTATGGGTACTACAGAGCCTTGAAAGTGATACCCCTTCACAAAGACCCCAGCTCCAATACAGTGAAGATCACCACCTGTTTTGATCGGTGCGTCAGGTAAGGGCTAATAGAACCTGGATGATGTTTGGGCTTCTCAGCTTTGGTAGTTACAATTCTCCATTTGTCTTTTTAACGAGCAGCACCAGGATTCCCCACTGGAAAGATGAACCCCTCTTTTCAATTCTTTTCTAAAAAAAATCCTGCAGGGTTATCTCAGGCTTGGTCAGTGAGCAGATCAATCGATCAACAAGTATTTATTAAGCACATACAATATGCCAGGTGGTGGAATGAGCATTAGTCATATAACGACAAAAGTGAAAATGTGGTCCCTGGCCACAAAGAGCTTGGGGGACACCATACGAACACATATCATTTATATATGTATTAACATTAGTATAGAAATGAATACAAAGCAGTGCAGGGAAGAAGAGGGAGCAGGCTAGCAGCTGGGGGGGTAGGCCTTCATGTAGAAGCTGCTGGCATACACGCCAAGTCCTGAAGGAAACTAGGGATTCCAAGAGGCAGAGGGGAGAAGGAAGACTGTTCCAGGTCCGTACAGGGGACACCAGTGAAAAAGAAGGAGATGGAGTGTCCTGAGTGGCACAGTGAGTAGTCCAGTCTGCCTGGATCACAGGGTCGAGGGAGAAGTGATATGCAGGAAGACTGGAAAGGAGAAGAGATTTAAATGTTACCAGGAGCCTCTATTTGATCCTAGAGGCTGTAGGGCACTGCTGGGGAACATGATCAGACACACGCTTTAGGAAAATCATTTTAGCAGCTTTTGGTGTGGAAGATGGATCAGAGTGGGGAGACCAGATAAGATGGAGGCTGTTATAATAGTCCCAGGGAGAAGCAATGAGGGCCCGAATTAGGGTGGTGGTTGTAAGTAGAGAAGAGGAGATGTACAGGAGAGACGTACTACAGATGGAAATGATAGGATTAGGTAGCTGACTGGGTCTACAGAATGAGTACAAGTGGGGAATCAAGGTTTCCACTCTGGCTAATTACAAGGATGGTGGTACGCTGACTGTCAGAGGAACGGTCAGAAGAGGGACAGGTTTGGTGTGGAAACACAATGAGTTCTGTTTTGGACTCACTGAGTTTGGGATTCCTACGTAGAAATGTCCAACAGGCAGTTAGTTGGTGATGCTCAGCACTAGGGCCCAAGAGAGAGACTAAGGCTGAATGCATAAATCTGGGATTTGCCTGCACGGAATAGTAACTGAACCCATGGGTGCTGAGGTCACCAAGAGAGAGAGCCACAGTTAGTAGACTTGACATGGAAGATAAAATCAGCAAAGGAGATTGAGAAGGGAACATCTGGACAGGTAGAAGAGCCAAGGTAAAGAAAGCCTAGAGGGGAGGCTGTATCTAGGAAAAGGGTTCCGTGGATAAATTTCAGGGGTTCCATTAATTCAGATGGGAAACAAACTGCATCTTTATTTTCAATAACCCATTTTATCCATTTAAAAATATGATTCTAAGGAGGGGTTCATGGTCTTTACCAGAGGGCCGAAGAGGTGCATGGCACAAAAAAAGTTAAGGACTTTTCTGATCTAGGAGGTGGTGAGTAGTGTCAAGGAGTCACAATGGCATACAAACACAAGAGTAAAGAGATACAAAGTGCAACAAGGTGGTGCAGTGGATAGAGAATCAGCCCTAGCATCAGGAGGACCTAAGGTCAAATCTCACTTCAGACACTTACCAGCTATGTGACCTTGGGCAAGTCACTTAACCCTGTTCGTCTCAGTTTCTTCATCTGTAAAATGAGCTGCAGAAAGAAATGGCAAACCACTCCAGTATCTCTACCAAGAAAACCCCAAATGAGGTCACAAAGAATCACACACAACTGAAACAACTCAACAACAGTGTCAAATGCCAAGAGAGATCAGGAAGGATGAAGACTGAAAAACAGCTATTAGATTTGACAATGAAAGTACTGTTGGATGCTTTGAAGAGAGCAGTTTCAGTAGAGTGATGAGGTAGGCAGCCAGATTGCTAGGGGCTTTGAAGAGAGTAAGTGGAGAGGAATCTAGCTGACCTGTTGGAGGAGAGATATAGATGGTGAGAAAGGTAAGATTCAGTGGGGGGTTTTTAAGGATGGGTTGAGATTTGGCATGTTTGCAGGGAGCAGAGAAGGGATCAGTAGAGATTGAAGAACAGAGAGAGGAGACAGTGAGAGCAGTCTGTGGAAGATAAGAGGGGTGGCCACTTCACCACAGGCTGGAGTAAAGGAGAAAATGGTGGGGGATGATGTCAAGGGGCTGTAAAATGAGGAGGAGGGGTTGTCGGATGAGGAAGAAGGAAGAATAGGGGCTTCTTGACAAAGCCAGCATGTCAAGACCAGAGTGTCTAGGAGTTGGCTGATCATACAAATAATTTATATTGGAGGGGAGGAGAGGAAGGATGATTGCTCTATCTCATTTCGACTGAACACATTCCAGATGTTCTGGAAACAAAACTCAGGAATATTAGGAGATGCCAAGATCTGGCCAAAAGTGATTTACAGCTGTCTTAGGCAAAGTGTCAGGAAGGACTGGAAAGAGAAGATGACCAAGTTCGAAGCAGTGGCTCGTCAGCACAACCAGGTCTGGTGACCAAAGTGAGCGTCCATTATTTATTCTGACCACCAGTGAGACAGCACAGACTCTCTGGACGCTAGCACTCTGGGATGAGCTGAATTGATGAAATTCACAAAGGCGTCTCCAGAAATGGGAAATAACCAGCTTAAAATTAAGAGTCAGAAACAGGCGGACCATGAGGTAGAGTGTGAAAAGTAGTTACTCTGGGATGAGCAGGGGGTGTGGGAGGGAGTGTCTGTAAATACAATTACCATGGGTGACAGGCAGCCCAATTCATAGGTGACCTCTTGCCAGGATAGAACTATGTGCTCAGGCGGTGAGGGTAGGTTGGATTCAACACTAGTGAATTCAACAGCAGCTCCATGCTCTCACGCCATCACACACGCAACAGACTCTTGGCCAGCAGGCTGGGAGAGTCTTGGAGGGTCCAGCACTAAAGGCAGGCCTGATATGCACACCCTATCTCCCTAGATAACCCCAGGTAGGTTGGTATTCTTGCCCATCCAGGCTAATTCACCACAGGCAAGTCAGCCAAACTCTCTTAAAAGTGATCCATTTAGGTAGGGATATTACATATCAGGTCCTGACAAGTATTATGTCTAACACAGTTCCTAGCTCATTCTGGAGCCAACAAATCTACCGGTTAAAAATCTCCGGTAAGCAGAGTGTCTAAAGCCTCCTTGAGCTCCCGAAGTAAGTCTTGTACATACACAGTCCAATATGGTGCTATTTTTAGTAAGGGAAAGGTTGGCTCAACAATCTGCCCCACAAGATAGGATATCAAAGAGGCTACCTTCCACCATGGGCAATCCTAAATTGTAGAAGTCTAATTAACACTGTACTAATAATCTTAGGAGATGTTCTATTTACCCAGCAAAAGATCTGGGGCCAAGGTCACCAACTGATCATAACATAAATTGAAGTCTGAAGCCTTTAGAATCATAAACATGACTTCTAGCTCAAGTCTGGGTCAACTGTCACCACAGCCTAGCTCCTAAAAGCCCCGTGAGACTTCTGCAATATGGTCAGATAATTTTCCTGTACTCAGCAGCAGACTGTCATTTGGGGAGCCTGACAACAGCAACATAGCCTGCCAGAACATGGTCAACAAGTACAAGTTGGGATGTACAGAGTGCTGGTCTCTCAGTGAATCAGGATTTCAGCAAACAAACCTTAAAAGTAAAACCCAAGCATGAAACCGACTGCAGAAATAGATTCAGACCAGAAGACTAGTACTAGTTTGGCTGGCAAGATACAGGAAGTATTGGGGAACTGTTCTGATTGAACCTGGCTCCCAAAAGTTTGGGATTCTTATAGTAATAAGAAGTGTTCCCCTCCCTGTTGGAGTGTTGGCATGGTCACAGGACAGCATCCACTCCTGTTCAGCTGTACTGGCAAGATTTCAGGTATGGCTAGTTATATAGAGAATATCACCCTTATAAGGAGCCTGCGCTCTAAGAATGATTTTCTTCATTATAACCAGGCACCATACATAGCTCCTTAGGTCCAGGGAACAAACCCAGATCCCACACCCCTATTTTAATAAAGCCACCCCCAGGTCCCACATCCTGTTCCTTATGACCAGGCAACAGTAGAGAGAATAACTCTACCCTTTTTATAACCAGGGCACCTTATGACCAGGAACAACACCTCTGGATCAGACAGGGAAAAAAATGCCCCAAGTTCCTGAGAAAATGAACCTGCTCAGCTTTGGAACTCTTCCTCTGAGTGGAGTTGTCTTGTCTGGCAAACAAATTCGATTAGTACACCGTTATCTAGATGGCCAGGACCATCTGTGCTCCACACTCCATCCAGGCATCTTGCCATCAACCTTTGTGCATGGCCTACTCCCCGCCTCTAGCTAGAGAGTCAGTAATCAAATCAAGCCACCATGCTACCCCAGTGCCTGGAAAGGGAGTGTCGAATGACCGTCCCTGTGATTCCGTGCTTAGTAACAGTGTGTTGATTGACTAGCTGACGCCCCAGATGCTCACATCCCTGGCCACCACTCCTCACTTGTGTTGTCTCCCTGGACGGGAATGTAAGGTCTTTGAGGGCAGGGACTCTCTCACCTAGGTATTTGTATCTGCAGCGATTAGCAAAGTGCTTGACACACAGTAAGCATTTAATAAATGCCTTTTTATTCACGCGTTAGGACCAGACTGCCCTAGCTGCACCCTGGATTTCATGAGACCGGGACCCTTAGACCCCACGTGGCCATCAGGAAGGCTCCTGGTATCCAAAGCCCCCTTTCTACCACCTGGACTCCCAACATCCCACGCCCAAGTCCCGGGACGCCACAGAGCCCTGAGGCGCGAGCCCCCAGGCCCCCGCCCCTTTGTAATGAGGTCACCCTCCCCTTCGGGCCAGGCCCCTCCCCCCGCTGCCCTCCCTCCGCCCCGCACCCGGTACAGGCCGAACGTGCTGTCCGCGTGGTCGAAGGGCACGAGGCGCTCGTCGCAGAATCCCAGCGTCCAGTGCGCTGGGGCGGCGGGCCCGGCGGGGGCGGCGGCCGCCGGCAGCTCTTGGGCCAGCAGTTGGACCAAGCTCCCGCCCGAGAGCCCGAGGGAGAAGCGAGCCCCATCCCCAGCGCCCCCGGCCCCGGCCCGGCTCTGCGCCGCCCGCTGCACCACCACTTGCGCCAGCGACACGCCCAGCTCCTGGGGGCTCGGGAACACCGAGATGAGGCGGGAGCCTGACCCCGGCATCGCGGCGGTGACGGCGGCGGCAGGGGCGCGGGGAGGGGAGCCGGAGGCGCGCGGCGTGGGGCGCGGCCTCGGCTCCCGGGCGGAAGTGGCGCCAGTCCGGGCGGAAGGGGACGCGCAAACGCTTCCGCATCGGCAGCGCCTGCGCGGGCGGACTCGGGCATTGGCTGGTCCTCCTAGGGAGCCACTGCGGTGCTCGTTCAAGTGTCCGTTCCGGGGCGAGCGGAGCGATCACATCCTGCAACGCTGACCGGCCACCGGCCTCCGCAGCTCATGAGAAGGTCCAGAAATCACCTCCTTTGACCGTCACTGAACAGAGACCCGGGGTCGCTCCTCAAGTGACGGGCGGAGCGGCTCGCCCTCTCGGGACCCCCGTCCATCACGTCACACTTGGCCCGAGGCTCATTTCACTACCCGCCCCCCCCACGCTCCCCTTCCCCGCCCCCTCCGGGTCGTGTAGGTTGTCTCTGAATAAAGTTAGAAAAGCTCGTCAGATCCTCCGTGTCCTCAGGGGTGACCGAGAACCAAGAGTATTCTAATATCACAATACCCGGGCCTGAACTTTTTCATCAGAGCTTGTTCTCAAGTTTATTTTTTTTTAAACTCAAACTAAAAAATAAAATTGCCGTGCCTGAAAACACTTGCAAGAAATAGCATGTACTCATCACCAGCCTGAGAAGCTCTTGGATCTTCAGTTGGTGGCTACCAGCAAGACGTTACCGGGGTATCTGCATAGTCACTACCAGAAGGGCCAAGCAAGGGCTTCTGAATGGTAACTGTCAGCAGGACTGGGCTGGGGGCTTCCACTGGAGGTCAGAGATAAAATACATAAGATTTCCAGTTAACTTGGATTAAGCACACAGACCAGTCCACTCTTGTCCACAGGAGCACTGTCCCCATCACTCACAACACTGAGTAAGGGAATGAAGGCAAGTCCACTCCTGAAGCTTAAACTGAGTTAGAAGTAAGTACTGGAACACAGTGACTTAATGACTGAGGGCTTCTTAAGGCACAACCAATAAAACAGGCAGGAATGGTCCCCTCTGTGCAAAAGAGGCATTGACATTGTAGCCCTCCTGTCTGGGACAGTTTGTAGTTAAGGAGCAAAGAAAAGCAGAGAAATGACCCTTGCTGACCAATTCTGGCTGAAGCAGGCCAGACAAGACAGGGCTTTGTGGCAGCTCCCCATACCCTGCCCCACCCCACCACTCCAGAGACAACCTGTTTGTCAGGAGTCCCCTCCAGCTCTGAGAGAAGAGCCAGGCAGACCACTCAGCACTCTGTGATGGGGTATCAAACCCTCATTTGGGAAACATTCAAGGAACCACATAGACTGAAATGCTCAGAATCTTGTGAACCTCTTGGTTGCAACCCAACCCTCAGATACTCCAGTAACCCTGAGGATCTTCTGTCTGATCCTCTTCGGCTCCTGCTTGAATCAGAGCCCTGGACCTGAGGGAAGGGTCAGGGAAGGGCTTAGGAAGCAATTTTGACAAATCACATTAGGAAAATTTAGGGCCTCCCCCCTACCCATTCTTTGGGAAGAAGGACACTGGCTGGGTCCAGGGCAGGGGATGTCCTCAGTCCCATCCATCACTGTCAGAGAAGAAAAGGGTAAGGGATGGGGCAGCAAGCTCTGTTAAAGGGAGAAAGCTCCTGTGCAGATGCCAGTGTAGACATTTTCATCCATGGGAATATATCTCCCTTGCTTCAGGTCCAGGAAGAAGAGTCGGTCTGACATCTGGTGCAAGTCAAATCCTTCCCGCTGAAGCCGTGTTTTCTGGATCTTGAAGGTCCCTGTGGGATAAGTAGGAAACAACTACCCAGCCAGCAAAGAGTGATGTGGAATGAGGCCCCCAGGGCAGGGCAAGGCCCTAGAGCTAAAGAAATCAAAATAGTATGAAATGAAATAAAAGATGAATATACCTGTTGTGTCCACTTGAGGCAGGAGGCGAAGGAAGATGGGACGAGCATATGGTGGAAGCACTCTCTGTAGCTCCTGGTACAGGGCGTTGGGGTTCAGTGTAGAATGGGGGTCAGCAATGGCAGCCATTCCAGCCTTGCCTTCCACTCCTACAATGGGGTTATATGCTGAGAACCTTCCCAGGCCCCTAGACTTCTCCAGGCCTTTCAGTCCCCAAGGTTCCCTAAAACCACTTCCCATCCCATCACATTCTCCCAACTCTCACCCAGATCCTGTCCCACCCGGGCTCCTTGCCTGGCACATCCACTCCATAAACTGCCACATCAGTCTGGCCGAGAACACGGCTTAGGACGCCTTCCACCTCAGTTGTAGAGACATTCTCCCCACGCCAGCGAAATGTGTCTCCACTCCGGTCCCGGAAGTACATGTAGCCAAGTTCATCCATCATCAGTACATCTCCTGTTGGGACAGAGATATTAAGGTGAGCTACTGTGGAATACTGCTGGGGACCTTATGCCCAATCCCTGTCCAAGTCTACCCAGGGTGCCATTCTCAGGAGGTATCAAAGAAGTAGGTGGGGCAGTATCTCAGGGTACATAGGAAGCAAGATACTTGAGAGGTAGGAAGAGGTAAACAATTCCTTTAAGATAGATAGGTCTTAGGGAGTACTTGAGAAGTAAATGAGGTTTGAGGGGTACCTCAGTGATAAGATGAGGTTTAGCAGTACCTGAGAGGTAGGCACTGTCTCCCTTCCGGAACACATTATATGCTATCTTCTTGTTGGTTGCACTCTCATTGACATACCCATCAAACCGGCGAAGTGGGTCTTGCTGATTGATCTGCCCAACCAGAAGACCAGGCTCCCCTAGGGATCAGAAGTATATATGTCAGCCACAGGATGGATCTGGGATTTCAGGCAAGTGGAGATGATCTAGTTAGTACTTGGGGGCTTAATTGGGTGCTAGAGTAGATACTCCCCCCTTCCCCCTCACCAGGCTGGCAGGGAATGCAGAGCCCCTGGGCATCCCTCAGCAACTCCATTGTATCCTCATTCACCTTCACTAAACGGATTGGGTACACATTGGGCAGGATCCGGCTATTGAAACCGCATGCTCCCACCTAGGCCAGGTGGAAGGAAGGGGAGAGAAAATGTAAGGTCTCAAGCTGAGTGAGGAAGGGGGTGGGGATCTATATCCCATAGGCATTGCCACTCATCTTTCATGCCACAGTTAGATGTAATCACCCTGTAGTGTTCAGAAGTTCTCATCTCCGGCTCTCTCTGATCCCCTATGTCCTCCATGGTCATGCCCAGCAGTGCCACCCCTTGCCCACTCCACCTCAGCTCTCACCTGCCTCCCCCTAGCTCCTACTTGCCCTCCCCACCTTTCCATCTAGGTTGGCAATGCTGCAGTTGCATTCAGTTGCACCATAGAATTCTCCAATCTGCTGGACCCCAAAACGGCAGGTGAACTCCTCCCAGATGGCAGGCCTCAGTCCGTTGCCCACAGCAAGGCGCACATGGTGCTGGTTCTCTGCAGGCCGCACAGGCTGCTTCAGAAGGTAACGGCAGACTTCACCAATGTACTGAACCACCTGATAAGAGTGAGAGAAGAAAGGACATGAGTGAAATTATTGTGGCAGGAGAGAGATGTCACTGGGAGACACATAAAGCAGAGGGCATGGATGAGGTGGCACTAGAGATATGTCAGGAACAAATGTGTTAGAGGAATTAAATATGGAGGGAGGGAAAGCAAACACAAGGGGGAACAGGCACAGTTAGAGAAGATCAGAGTTGGTAGGATCCTTAGAGATCATCAACTAACGAGGGCCATTAAACCTCCATTTGACTATTTCTAATGCCCAGGAGTTCGTTGTCTAAAATGCATCGTGTTTCTTTGTCTACGCTTGAGTTGTTAAGCAGCAGCTCTTCATACTGAGCTGACAGATCACACAAGTAAGTAGCCGAGTCAGGACTGATTTTTGACCTTTGCTCTAACCAGCTGATCTGACTGCACAAAGACAGCCACTTCTGAAATGATGCCCATATCAGGAACCAGTCATCTCCCATTTCAAAAGATCATCAATTCATTCTTTCTTTTAAGTATTATGATGTTCATCAATGCTGATTTTATATACAGAGCCTTCTAACTCATCTTAAAAAAAAAAAGAATTCATGAATCTGAGGCATAAGGCTTCTGAGTATCCTAAAACCTTTGTCCTATTTCAGTTCTCAATCTCAAACTATATTTTCAACAATTTTTTTTTTGCCATCCTCTGCCACGTCTGCCTTTGCATTGAAGTCTTCCATTATATTAAATCAAAGTACAGGTATACTTAATTTGGAGAATACTGTCAAGTTCTTCATAAAATTCTATATTACTTTATCACTGCAATAAACATTGGAACATAAGCTATAATTATCTTCATGGGGATGCTTTCTTAATTCATTGTAAGAACTCCAACCTATCCCATGAAGCTATGTTCCTTGTTGATTTTAGGTGCATGATGAATCCAGCTGTGCCAACTCCTTCATTTCCCTCTGCAAGGAGAACCTGTGAACTTTCCATTTAGCTGCATCTTTATGTCTTCCGGTACAATTTTCTAGCATTTTTTAATGCCAATGTGCCAGTGATATGGCTGTGAATCGTGGAATACCACAGTGTCTAAAAACTTGAAATTAAAACTCATCCAAAGGGCAACTAGGAGGTATGTGGTAGATGTGAGTAGGTTTCAGCTCACTGAAATTGAGGAACTGGGGAGCAAAGGATGTTATCACAGAAAAACATGACCAAAAGAGAGATGGGCCAGTCAGAGTGATAGCAAGGAAAAACTGGTGGGCAGCCTGTGTGCTCCATGGATAGCCATGCAATGTCAAGAACTATGGGCAGAGGCCTTCAGCATGTTATCTGGATGCCCTGTGGTAGGCTTACATGAGATACACAGTATGGGAAGGTTATATTTAGTAGGTTAAGAAATTCTTATTGGATTGGACTGGGTTTAGATCTACATCACTACAGGAAGTACTCACAACAAAGAGATCATATATCCATCAAAGTGTCCATCATTTATGTCAACAGAGATATGGCTCAGTTGCTCAAGTAGTATGCCAGCTTGGTCACTGGAATGTAGAACTCCAGTGAAAATATCCAACAAGTAAACTCATGTTTGTAGACAATCCAAGAACTGGGATTCTTAGCATCCTTTGCCCCCTTTCTATCACTGACCAGCAAAGCAGAAGGGGGCTATCCAAGACTGAAGGACATTTTGCATTTTTATTTCTTTCATGAGTTGCTATGGCCAAAAAAATTCCTATCTGGTAGCCACCCCTCTGGTAATGAGCCTCTCTGTATTTGGCTAGCCTGGTCCTTGCATAGCAGATACAAGCTCTTGCTGGGACTAAATGTGAAAGCTGACTGACAGACTGACTGGTAAAACACACCAGAGTTTGTGCTGTGCTGGTATAGCACCTAGAAGTATTAAAGCAGGTGTGAACCCAAGAAGACTTTTGTGGAAGAATTTGTCAAAATTCCTCTTAAACTGTGATGTCCAGAATTGAACACATAGTTTAGGCATAGTGTGACCTTTGAACAATACAGTTTCATCTCCCTTGGTATAAAGCAGGGATTCTTCATGTCTTGGAAGTCTAGTGAAGCATATGGACCTATTTGCAAAATAATATTTTTAAATACATAAAATACAAAGAAAACCAATTATATTGAAATATAGTTATCAAAATGTATTTTTTAAAAGTTCACTGACCCCAGGTTAAGAGCCCCTGGTCTAGAGACTCTATATCTATTAATCTAGCTCAAGACTGCAGCCACTTTTTTGCTAGTCAGGTCACATTGTTGGCTCAAAATAAGTTTGTGATAAACTGAAACTCCCATTTTTTTAAATCTGAACTGCTGCCAAATCATACCTTCCAAATCCTGTACATATGCAGAAGTATAGGATTTTTTAATCTAAATTCAGGACTTTGCATTTATCCCTGTGAAAAGTGAGGATTTGGCCTCACTTTCTCATTTGTTGAGATCACTTTAAATTTTAATTGTCATCTATTAAGTTAGCTAACCCTCCTAGTTTTATGTCTTCTATAAATCTGATAAGCATGCTTTCTGTGTCTTCACCTAAGTCATTTCTATAACTATAGAAATGGAATAGTTTTTGAAACAGATACAAATACAAAATACCAAAAAGGACATGGAATGTTACTAGATACCTCATTGTTGACAAGGAATGATTAGGCAGCTGTCCTCTACTGGGATAGTTGTTCAGCCAGCTGTGAATCCACTTGACTATCCTATTATCCAAACCACATATCATGATTACATCCACAAGAATATGAGACTTTTTCATAGTCTTAATATTGGAAGAGACCCTAGAAATCCTCTAATTTAACCTCCCATCTAATACAGCAATTCCTTCAAATGCTTTAATGAGATAAAGAAACACTATTATTTACCAACCTAACAAACCTATCTGCAAATTACATTAATTCAGCAAGACACGAGGAGGTGGGAGATACACGTGGTAGTGGTGCGGTATCAGGGAATTAATCTAACTTGACTTTCCTAGTAAGAAGATGTGGGGATGGAAACAGTATGACATTTGCTCTATCCCACTTCAGTTATCTGTGAATGCAAAAGTCCAGCACCGACACCTCTATTTTATGCTACCAGAGTTAGTGACAAGACAAGGAAGGAAGAAACACAAAATGGGGACCCAGAGAATCTCAGAGCTAAAAAGGCCCTCAGAGGTCCAACCCTTACTCAAAACATGAATCCTGTTTATAACATGCTGTGTGAGGGACCTTTTGACTTCTGCTTGTTAGGAAGTGATTCCTTATAGTCATACTCGACAACATACTTAGGGCCATGGGTACGCGTATACAATATTTAGAGACTAGCAACTGAAGGCAAAGGAGCATTTTAGCTGTTTGACCTTCAAAAAAACAGAATCTCGACCTTCCCACTCCCCGAATGGAGTGTATTGCTACTTTTCAGCTAGATTTTGAGATGGCTTGTGAGTGTTTGAAGGATAGGTTAGTCAGGCCTTGCCCTAACTGTCCATCCTAACTGTGTCCGTGGTCGCCCAGCTTCTATTCCTTCTGAGACAGCAGTGGAGTGGGGTAGAAAGGGCTCTAGATTTGTTATCAGGAAACCTGGGTTCAAACCTTGGGTCTGCCACTTGCTAGTTAAGTGTACAAATGACTTCAAACTTCTGGACCTCAGTTTGTTATCTCTATAAAATGAGGAGGTCATACTGATTAAAGGAAGGGTGACCCAGGAGAGTAGTCACAGAGCCTAGGGGTTGGAAGAGGCCTCAGAGGCCATCTGGTGCAACCATCCATACCTGACCAAGAACATGACACATGATCCTCCAACCTTTACCTGCCTGAGACCTCTAGTGAGTGACAGGCAGGCCATTCCACTTTGGGACATCTCTAATTGTTAGGAACTTGTTTCACCTCTGCAGCTTCTGTCTATTTTCCTAATTCTGCCTCTGGGGCCGAGCAGAACTGACCTAATACCTCTGCCACAGCACAGCCTTTCAAATGTCTGAAGACAGCTAGCAAGGCCCCATCTAAATCTTCTCTCCTCTGAGCCAAACATCTCCCAATTTCATCAGTCAACCTATCTATCCTCATTGGCATGATCTCGTGGCCCTTCACCAACCTGGCTGTCCTATTGCTCACAAATGTCCTTCCTAAAATGCGGCACTGAACTCCACCTTCTGGCTGTAATCTGATCAGAGCAGAACAGGAAGGGGAAGTGGAAAGGAACAAGCATTGATTAAGCACCTACTTAGGTTCACCACCTCCACAGTCCTGTATGCTGTTCTTCTTTTAACATAGTCTACTATGACATTAGCCTTTTTGGTTGCAAGATTATTCCAATGAATTATCACACTGAGTTAATGGTCTGCTAAAACCTCCACTAGCCTGGGGAAACAAAGGAACAGCTGGTGAAAAAGCCAAGGGAGGAGCCAATACCAACACTGGGGATGTTTACTGGGAGATCTTGAAGATTTCTCTTAACTCTCTTCACACCTGCTTTAATACTTCTAGGGTCTATGACTTCCTTCCATTGAGCACTCCCTCTGCCAGCACAGGTTACAACCCCTCCCTCTGTACCTTAGGCTAAAACCATTCATAACCTGGTGACTAGCCTTTTGGCCAGACAGCAGAAACACCAGGTCATCAGGCCTCAATGCCTTTCCAGCTTGGTAAGACCCGCCAGAACTTAAAGGCAGCTAGGAGACACAGTGGATAGCACACTGGGCCTGGAGTCAGGAAGACTCCTCTTCCTGAGTTCCAGTCTGGCCTCAGACACTTACTAGCTATGTGACCCTGTTTACTTCAGTTTCCTCATCTGTAAAATGAGCTGGAGAAGGAAATGGAAAACCACTCCAGTATCTTTGCCACGAAAACCTCAAATGAGGTCATGAAGAGTTGGACAAGACTAAAAATGACTGAAAGAAAAAGCCAGAGTTTATGTTCCATTGGCAAAGCCTTCAAAAACCCAGAGCCACTTCTGTGCTATGATGAGACACTGGAGGAGAGGTAGAGGGACCTTACTTATGTCTATTATTTTTATCCACTCTCTATTTTCCTGTAAGCACTACAAATGAAAACCCTTAAAAATCCTCAAAAGGATTGACTATTTGCTTTAGGGGAGAGGAAAGGAGAAGCTGAGAAGCCTCATTGTCATTCGAGAGAGAAATCCTGGCTGGTCAGCAGTAACAGGTGTGGTAAATGAGAGAAAAGCACGCGGACTAATGCCTAAGCCAAATCAAAAAGTCCAACCCAGGACCGCACAGTGTCCCTAGGTGTCAGTACCAGTAGGTAGTCCCAAATGCTTACAAGAAGCATAGATAAAGGAAGGAGGGATGAGGTGGTGGTAGCCGTGTGGGGAGAAGAGAGAAGGAAGAGACATGGAAGGAAACAGCCAAATGAGGTGCTGTGTGTCGGGGGTGGGGGGAGGCTGACATGGTAGGAAGAGCTGGTTGGGGACATAAATACAGTGGGGGCATCAGCATCTTGGAGGAGGGGGGGAGGAGAGGCCCTGACCGTGCAGTTGTACTTGATGCAGTCATCCCAGAAGCGGCTGGCAGAGAACTTCTTCCTGATGACGACTGTGAGCCCATACAGAAGGCACTGCCCTACCCCCATGATGTTCCCTGCAGAGAGACAAGGATTAGCCTTGAAAGCCTCATCAGATCCACCCACTCACTCCCTTCCCATTCTACTTCATTAGTTGCTGAACCCTACTCCCTTCAGTACCTGCAGAGTGGTACAGAGGGAGACAATTGTAAATTATATCTGAGGGTTTCATTCTGTAGGCATGGTGTCCAAAGGCTGCAATTCGATAGTATCTGGATAAGAGAAGAGAAGTGAGGCTGGAGGGGCCACATGAGAAAGAAAACTTTGACAGGAAGAGGTGGGGGGAAGGGGCGAGACTCGTGCTTGAGACACACGAAGTGATGGCAGGGCTGAAGCCAAGATGGATATGGTGTGGAAGCATTTCTGGGACTGGAGGAGGTAGGGAGAGGGCAGGATTGAGGATAAGGATTGTGTGGAAGAGGCCAAGTGAGACTGGGGCAAGGACAGGGGCAAGGAAGCAGAGCTGATAAGTTAGGAGGGTAGCAATGTTTTAAGGCTGGAAAGCACAAGGGGAAAACCACAGTTGAGGAAGCATGTATCCTCAGACCCTTACCCAGCTTTCGGTCCTACCTGCTATGTACTACAATTGCAGCTTTGGGCATCCCAGTAGTGCCAGAAGTATAGATGTAGAAGAGACGGTCTGGAAGGAAAGGGAAGCATCGGGGTGAGAGGAGCGAAGGGCTCTGTGGGATCTGTTGGTGGAGATAGGGCTACGGGCATGGAGGAAGGAGAGTTTGGAAAAGGCAAACAGGACTTGACCAAAATTAGAGGTACTGGCAGGAACTGTCTCAAGGGGGCACTCCAAAACCAGACTCACCATCCATCCCTTTAGGAGGCACTTGCATAGGGGGTGCTGTGGAGGCCTCACTCAGCATAGGATCAAGAAGGTGAGTATCAGGGGTGACACCTTCTGGCCCAAAGTCCCCAGAGCAGAACTTCACTAGGTTTTTCCCCAGCTGTACACTCACTTCTGAAATAGCTGGAACACATGAAAGGTATGCCTACTAGCCCCAACCTAAAGACACATGGACACCTCTGGTCCATAGACATGCCTATTAACCTTAGCCTGAAGTCATGCCTCTTGGCCCCAGGGCACCTGAAATCACTAGTTCATACACACACTCTTCAGTTCACTGATATGTCTGTTAACCTCAGTCAACAGACATGTTTCAGCTCCAATCCATAGACATGCTTGTCAGACCCAGCCCACAGAATACCTACAAGTGCTAGCTTACCAACATGATTGTCAGCCTCAGGCTACAGGCATACCTAGACATGCATGTAATGTTCTTTTCTCCTAAGCACAAGGCCATACCTTTCCTCGCCTAAATAGTCAGGGAACACTTTTCAAAACCCAGGGTTGATCAGTCCAGTCTAGCTAGCTTTCCTCCCTCAAGACTCCATTGTCCCCCAGATCCCAGCAGTCATTCACCATTTTGAGCCATGCTGTCTCTCCTCCTACCTCCAAAAGTCCTCCCCCAGACAAAAAAAACGTAACCTTTGCCTTCATACTGTGGGTCCTGACCCCCATACCACCCCCAGCCTCACCAGCTGCTAGCTCCCCCCCAAAGATCAGGGCCTTGGCCCCCGAAGTGCTGAGGCAGAATGTAAGGGGCTCCAACCGCAGGTTCACATTGAGCAAGGCAGCCTCCACTCCTGCCTTGGCAAGGCCAAGCCACAGTCCCACAAACTCAGGCCGGCCCTCCAGGAACATGGCAACCACATCGCCAGACCCAAAGCCAAGCTGCAGGAACAGGTTGGCCACTGCATTGGAGTACTCATCGAGTTGCTGGAACGTCCACTGTTTTCCGCTGACTGCATCTACTAGGGCCACCTTTTGTGGCTGTTGGTTGGCCAACTCCTGGAAGATGCAGGGAATCGTGTGCCTGGCCTGCTGGTGCCGTCGGAGCTCATAGCGGACACTGCATAGTACAGAGAGGCCACTGCAGCAGAGAAGAAAAGAGATCAGACAGACCCTGTGACAGACACTGTAGCAGCAGCCACTCCTATGCTACACACAGCCCTAGTGCATTGCTTCACCCAAAAAGAAACACACAAATACTTTTTTGGAGGAGCAAGGCAAGGAGGGGTAATAGTCACAGGGCCACTGCAGCATACACGTACCATGTGACTTTGGAGCAGCCTCTGTCTCAGTGTCTCCCTCTGGATAATGAAGTGGGCAGTGACCTATCTTGTGGGAGCAATGAGGCAAGTAAAAAGGATAAGGAACAATAATATTCCAGTAGAATGCAAATTCCTTGAAGGCAGGGATTGTCTCAATTTTGTCATGGTGTCCCCAGTACCTAACATGGTACTCATATAGAAGATACTTAATAAATACATATTGATTGACCCACTGAACGAGTTTTTGGTAAATGGATCAAACTTAAAATGTATATATCGTATTTCATGTTTTGATTAAAATGTTTTGATATGAAAATACAAAAATGGTTTCAATATAAGATATATAATTGGCTGTGTAGTTAAGTAGTACCTAATTAGCAATTATATTCCTAATTCCATAGGGAGATCTTTTAGCTCAAAGAAAGCTTCATAATATAATTTCTAATTACATGCAACTCCAAGTAGCATGCTCATGTAAATCTCATAGAAGAGTCTTACAAAGAGGCCACCCCAGGCGTTGAGGACTAATCTACTGGGACTCACCGAGGCTCCTTTACAGTTTACTTAGTATGATTAAAGAAGATGTCTTCTCTTGTTAGAGTCAGAACCCAGTCAGTCCAGAAGATGCAATTAAACTAAGAGATACTTAGCTCTGGTTCTCATACTTTGAGTCTCCAGAGAAAGCGTGCTTATTGGCTATGGTACAGGAAGATGAGAGGTGACAGGTTCAATCACCTCTCCTGACTGTCTGTAAGGATATGTATATTGTTAAGTCCTCAACTCTTTCAAGAAGAGCTGTCATGACTTAAATGGTAGAGGATGAAACAGAACTGACCAAGGAGAAGGAAGGTAGAGATAAATGCAAGAAGGAAGGAGGCATCTTTTTGACCCAACTATTCTAGAAGACTTGAGGGACAGATTTCTGAGGGCTGAATAATGGTGTGTCAAGTTAAACCAAAGAATGTAAATGCTTGTTGTATTGGGGATATGTACTAGCCTGTTAGATGCATCCCCAAATACAGGACTAACCTGTTCAGTAGGGGAATCCACATTATTGAACTTCAATAAATACAACCACTAAATCATCACTCAGTTTTCTGAGGTAGTTTGAAGACAATCTGCAAAGGTGTGTTGGCAAATTCATATTTTTTTCCTTTTTTTCCCCCTACTTAATATTATTTCATTTTTTCCAATTACATATAAAGATAGTTCTCAACATTCACTTTTATAAGATTTTGAGTTAAATTCTTATTTTAAATGGGCATTGTGTACCCTTCTCTTTCTCTCTGAGTCATGAAGAACATACATTCCCACTTACCTCAATGTTAGTAGAAAACATAAACTAGATCAAAGTTTCCTGCTTAGTGATTGAATTAAGTAATACTGTGACTATTGGGATGAGAGGAAGGGCAAAGGAGAACTAACTACAGGAGGGATTGAAAAGGGAATCTGGGCGATCACGCCAAGGAGGGCCTGGGAAAAATGAGAGCTGGAAAGAAGATGGTAGAAGTGCCAAAAGTCATGTATGGGGTGGAGTGGGGGTGGGCTACTGGGAACAAAACTGGCTAAATATTTGATGAGGGTGAATCAAGTTTTAAAGGCCCTGAAAGAATAAAGATTCTCTGGGCTGTAACATGAGGACTCAGAGGGCTCAGCTATTTTGGGAGATCTAAGGAATCTCCCTTGCATTGCCTCCCCCCACCTCAGATTCAGCTCTACCCTGGCACTAGCTCCCCTCTCACTCTGTTCACCCTCTTCTGATCCTTCCCCTCTGCCCTATCACCACCTTCCCTTCCTAAGCTCTGCCCTGCCATCACCTCTCCTCCTCCCCCTACCCAGCTCTGTCCTGACACCACTTCCCCTCTGTCCAGAGCTCTACCCTGATCCTCTTTCTTCCTTCATTCCCAGCTCTATTACATTCTGGCCCCAGGCCAAACATCCCTGAATGGAGAGAGGAAGTAGAGGGCACAGGAGGGTGATACGTGGAGACACACAGCAGAGTGATTGCTAGTTCATGGGAGGAGAGGGGGAGGTGACTTGCAGGAATAGTCATAACTTATGGAATTGGGGCACCTTGTTCTTCAGGGCAAGACACAGAATCTCTAGCCCAGTACTTCTTTCTCCTGCCTTCTCCATCTTCACTGATCATACCTTTTGTCCCTCTCCTCCTCCCACTCCCCCAGAATTTCCCCTGCAGCTCAGGGGAGTGACCATAGGGTAGAAGTGCCAATGGGAGCCTGGAGGTGAGTTTTAACTGTGGACAATGCATGTGGCATCAGGGTCAGGTCATGTTAAGCCTTCTTGTCCCCACTTTGGACTGCCCTTTCACCTCACTCCAGAGGGAACAAGACTCTCTTCAGAACGTAGAAGCCCTCTAACGTCACTCCCAATCGGAAGGGAACCAATCTGCTAGCATCAGACTCTCAGGGAGACTGCCTACACTCCTTTGTAGTGGATAAAGAGACCTTTCTTTTGCTTACTGGCTCAGCCCCAGACATGTTTCACCCTTCTAATCTCTTCTTCCAAGGGCAGACTCCATTTTGAAAAAGCCACAGAGTCCCCAGGAAGATATGGGAGACAAAGCAAACCCTGCATACTTCACCCAATGTTATCGACTCCTGCTGAGTCAGATTAAGCCCCTATATTGTGTAGGGGGAGAGAGAAGTGTGATAGATTCTGACAGAACAAGTTGTATGAACTGTTACCACTATGCCAAGGCCATGGAACCAAGTTTACATCAAAAGCTATCACAACACCATCCCCCCTCCTGTACCTATCACTGCCAAGATACCCATTGCTACCATCAGCTTCCGTCATAGATCTGCCTCAGCATCCCCATTCCTCCTCATATAGCCTTTTGGTACCCCATATCTCTCTCACTTACAAAAGGTCCCTTAGTGCTGTCTTGAAAATAATGCGCAGAAGTCGCCAACCGCCGGTGCCCACATAGATAGTCAGAACAGCTGCCAGACCCCAAGACCAGGGCAGTCCCAGGAAGCGGAGGAAGCCCACTGAGGCCAGTGATGCTGTGCAAAGGCCTGCAGCACGCATTCTAGGAGAGAGAAGGGGAAGAATTCTTCTTACCCTAAGACCATATTCACAGGAAGTGGGGGAGGAGAGAGGCAGACAGACAATCAGGGCAGGGAATAGGACTCACTGGATCATAGGACTTAGAAGAGACTAGAGGGGCAGTGAAGTAGAGGAAAAAGAGGGTGAAGTGAAAAAGAAAAGTAAAGGAGAAAAGTAAAGAGGCAGGAGAAACATGGGAGGGCAGAGGCAAGAGAAAATGGGGGAAGAAGTGAAGAAGAGTAACACAGCAAGGATTGAAGTGAGGGAGAGATCAAAGACTGAGGGGTCATAGAGAGTTGAGTAGTGGTGAGGAAGAGGAGTTGGGAAAGAACAAGGGAAGAGGTCAGGGGATGTGAAAGAAACAAGGAAGAGGAGAAAGTGATAGGAGAGTGAGAGGGAGAGAGGGAAAAAGTAAGGGGTGTAAGAAAGCTGGGGGAGAGAGAGAGGGGAGAGTAACAGGGCTAGGAGAGGGGGCTGAATCACTCTGAAGGGAAGGGTAAGGAAGGAGGACAGGGAGAGCAAGAGGGAAGAGTTGAGGGAGAGTCAAAGTGATAGAGTAAGGAGTGATCAGGGGACAGTGAGAGTTGGGAGGGGGAGCAGAAGGGGAAAGTAAGAGATGGGGGCAAGGGAAGGGAGGATAGGGTTACTAGGAGAGGGAGAACAAGAATGGGGAATACTGAAGGGAGAGATAATGAGGAAGGAGACCGTAGGAGTGGAGAACATGACAAGAAAAAAGGGGATAATGGGGAAATAGTGAAGACAACAATAATGGGGGACAGTGGAGGATGGACAGTGAGGGGGAAGAGAGAGGGAGCCAGTGGAGAGAAGTGAGGAGAGAGTTGTGGCAACAATGAAGGGGGAACAGTGGGGGAGGCAGTAAGGGAGGGAGAGGGAGGGGTGAGAGTAGTGGGGACAATGTGGGTAGAGAGAGTCAGTGGAGACAAAAAGTGGGACAATGGGGAAAATGGTGGAAAGTCTAATGAGGGAGACAAGTAAGGACCAGGAAGAGGACAGTGAGAGAAGACAGGGATAATTTAGAGGAGACTGATATTTAGGTATGGGTTGAACTAGAAGGCCTCTGAGATCTGTCTTCATTGATTTAGTGACTGCTGGGACTACTGGGGGAGGAGATAAGGGGGAGGGGGCCAGAAAGAGGGTAACAGGGATAATTAAAGGGTTTCTTCTATTGGTACAGGTTGGAATAGACGGCTTCTCTGGTCTCCCCTAATTGATTTGGTGACTGATTTAGGGACTACTAAGAGAGGACAGTGGGGGGACAGCAAGGGGGAACAGTGAGGGAGACCATGAAAGAGAACTGTGAGCGAAACAGTGAGGGGACAGAAAGAGGGGACAGTGAGGGGGACAGTGAAGGAGGACAGTGAAGGGACAGTAAGAGGGACAGTGAGGGCAGTGAGGAGGAGGGGGACAGTGAAGAGGGAGAGTGAGGGAGGACAGTGGGGGACAGCAAGGGAGAACCGTGAAAAGGGACTGTGAAGGGACAGTGAGGGAGACAGTGAAAGGAGACAGTGAAGGGACAGTAAGAGAGACAGTGAAGAGGAAGAGCAAAAGAGCACAGCGAAAAGGGACAATGAAGGGGCATTGAAGGAAGACAGTAAGAGGGACCCTGGGGGGTATTAAAGGGGCAGTGAGGGGGAGGGGTGACAGTGAGGAGGGAGAGTGAAAAGGAACTGTGAAGAGACAGTTAAGGAGACAGTGGGGGGCCCAGTGAGGAGGGGGACTGAAAGGGGACAGTGGGAGGGACAGGAGCGGCAGGGTCAGGTACACGTTGGAATAGGTGACCTCTGGGGTCCTTCCAGGCTATGTGGTGACCACTGTGACTGGGGGGTGGGGTCTGCGGGGGGTGCTGCGGGGACAGGGAGAGAGAACAACGGTGGGGGGATCAGTGAGAGGATGGGGAGCAAGTGGAGGACAGGAAGGGGCGTCAGTGAGGGAACAATGAGAGCTGTAGAACACATAGTGTCACACACACACACACACACACACACACACACACAACACACACACACACACACACACACACACCACGTACACGCGCGCGCGCGCACGTACCTCACTCCCTGGTCCGCCCCCCAGGCCCCCACCCTCTCCCTTCCTCCTCTCCGGCTTCCGGAGGTCCGAACCATAGAGCACCTGGGAGGCCAGAGAGGCCGGTTCCGCGATCCGGCAGCTAGAACAGCCACCCTGCCGCTACCCTTCGTTTCCATGGCAACCTGCCGCCAGGCAGGCGCCGAGCAGGGGAGCCACGAGAGGCGAGAGCTTGGCCTCTCGCCAGCCTCCTCCCCCCACCCCCGGCAGGACAGATGTGGAAACTGAGGCCCCGGATGGACTTCTGTCCGGCGTCCTCCGACTCAAGCTGCCAGTTCCGGTCCTGGCTCTGAACGTGCGGGCCCAGGCTGCTAGTCCCAAGCACACTGCGGGAGGCCGCCCCCTAATGCTTGTAGAATGAATGAACCCGTGTTTGCAGAGGTGTGTCCACCTCCTTATTTGTGTCAGTTGGCTAGTGGCCGCACGGACCGCACAGAGGCATCGGGCTCCCAATCCCTGGCCAGCACCTTGCCAGGTAGTTTGGATAAGTCCGTACGTCTATGCCAAATCCTCGTCCTCCTTGACCTCTGAATGTGCCAAAACCGACACCAGCCATCCCTGCTTGAAACTCCTGCGGTCTAGATCCACGATTCCCAAAGCGGCAGCTCAGGGACCATCCAGCCTGAACAAGGATCCCCTCTAAAACAGGATTTCAGGGGATCTGTGAACTTGGATGGAAGAAAAAAATTACATCTCTATTTTCATTAATTTCTAACTAAAAGTGAGCATTTCCTTAAATTATTTAAAAACGTTATACTGAGAAGGGTTCCATAGGCTTCACCAAACTGCCAGGGGGGTCCATGACACAAGGTGAAGAAAACTTCTCTAAATGCTCTAAACATACCCAACAAGTAATCATCCAGCACTTGCTTGCAGAGCTCCGAGAACATGGAAGCATCGCTGATGACTTTTGGAGATTTGCTATCTCTACCCTGGCCTCAATCACAGTGTAATAATAGATAATAATAATCATAGCTTTTGTTTATCTAGTGTTTTATGATTTGAAAAGAGAGAAGATCCCTAGCCTGGGAAGTATAAGTTCTAGTACTCTCTGGCCGTTCTGCTACTCTCAGTGTAACCCTTAGGCAAATTCTTTTCCCCAGGAGTTGTTCACAGCTCCCGATAGGTTGACTGGCCTTGGGCTAATGCTCTTTCTGGTCCTTGATCACTCACCTCCTAGAAGTCCTCCTCAACAGCTTTCATAGAAGGCTGGGTGATCAGAAGCCCTCAGTCCAGAAGCAATCACAACAGCTTCAAGTCTAGGGCTTACACTAGCTTAAGCCCTCTGGGGCTCTCTTGCTCCACAAGGCCTCCGTTGATAAGCAATGTGGGCAGAAGAGGCAGCTGGGGATCTCACATCTTCCATGTAGGAAGCCTTGGCTTCCGCTGAGGGCACATAAAAAACTCCATCTCTGGTTTCTGAGGGTGTCCAGCCTGCTGAAGTGGGGGCAGAATCACAGCTTCCTCCGACTGCAGCTTTTCCAAACAGGATTTCAATGGTATCACAAGCTGATGTCCCCAGAAGGCAGCTGTATTCTCTAAGCTACCACTCAGATGTTGCTTTTTCTATAGCCTGGTATGAAGTCCCCTTCAAGCAGATCCTCTGATGCTCTACTTGGGATGGGAGGGGGGCACCTATGGTGGGGCCGTGGCACCGACCCCAACTCTGGGTGCTGCCTGGCCTGGGAGTGCCTCAGAAGCTCTGGGAGGTCCCTTCCCAGCTCTCACTCCACAATTCCAAGTTCTCGACTCAGATCCCCACTTTCCTCTCCCCCAACTCTCCCCTTCCCCTGCCCCCGCCCCGCTCCCCCCCCTCCCCTGCTCCACCCCAATCCTTTGGATGCTTGTTTTCAAACAAGTTCTATGACCTTTCCCCTAGTTTCTCTTCCGGGGGAGTCAGCCTTGGCCTTGGTCCAGTGCCCTTTGGAGAAGGGGGCTGACAGGCATACACTCTATGGCCTCCCATTGGTCCTTTGAGTGTGGGCAGCTCAGTTTGAGGGAGGGTGGGGTGGGGAAAATAGATGGAAACTGGTGCACTGCGTGTCCCCCTCCTCCCCCACCTCACACACAGTGTGGAACTGAGCCTGGCAAATGGCTCCTCCAACAGCCCCTCCTGCCGGCCTGAAACTGTAGTGCTCTTTCATTGACCTTTGTAGATTTAGAGCCAGAAAGGACCTAGTCCAAAAAGATCGCCTAGTCCAAAAAACTCTCAATTCATATCCAGATGATGTGTCCAAGGCCACAATTTCTGCCACAAATCGAGCAGTAAGTGACAGAATAGGATTTGAACCCAGGTCTTATGATTATGAATCTAGTATTCTTAATGCCCTTCATAGAATCCTTATAGGCATCCTCTTCCTGATGCCCCCAGCTCTTAACGCCAGCCCTCACCACCATTTTGCTTATCTTGTATTTATTCTGCATGCATTTTTCTTTATATACTTATATATGTATATGTTTTCTCCCTTGACAGAGCACTTATTAAGCCCTTACTATGTGCCAGGTGTTGTGCTGAGAGTACTGGTGATAAAAAGACCACAAACAAAAAACCACAAAAAAGACCACCTGTCCCTGTCCTCAAAGTGCTTCCATTCTAATGGGCAGATCAACATGCATGTTAATAGATATGTACAAAATATGGACTATATGGAAAGTAGCCTTAAAGCAGAAGGCTAACTAGCATTTAGGGGGACCAGGAGAGGTGTCCTGCAGAGGAGATGTTTAGGTTGTCTTCAAGGAAGCCAGGGATTCCAAGAGATGCAAAACCTTCTGGGCATGGTAGACAGCTAAGGAAAAGAGATGAATGTAGAGCTAGAAGAGGTCTTAGAGGCCATCATATAGAACCCTTTCATTTTACAGATGAGAAAACTGAGGTTCTGAGGTTAAATCAATTTGCCCAGGAACACCCAGCAGCTTTGTATGGTAGGATTTGAACCCAGGTCTTCTTTTCTAGAAATGGAGTGCTCTATCTCCAACAGCAGATGGAATATCGTGGGTTAGGAATAGCAAGTAAACCAGTATGTCCAGATCATCAAGGGTGTGAATGGAAGAAATGGATATGAAGACTGGACAGATTATGTAGGGCCAGGTCATGAAGAGCTTTAAATGCCCAACAGATGAGTTTGTTGAAACTTGGATGTGTGTATGGGGGTGGGAGGTGACATGATCAGACCTACAGGTTAGGAAATCATTTTGGCAGCTGTGTGAAGGATAGGGGAGAGACTTGAAGCAGAGAATAACTAAAATATTATTGAAGGGGCAGCTAGGTGGCGCAGTGGATAGAGCACCGGCCTTGGCGTCAGGAGGACTTGAGTTCAAATCCGGACTCAGACACATGACACTTACTAGCTGTGTGACTCTTGGCAAGTCACTTGACCCCAATTGCCTCACCACAAAAAAAAAATGTTATTGTAATAATCTAGATGAGAGATAATGGCTGTGAGTGGTGACTGTGTGAGTAGAGACATTTACAGTATGTAAAAGATGTTGTGGACGTAAAAATGATAAAATTTGGCAAATTATTGGATGTATGGAGTGAGACTAAGGAGTGAAAAAAATCAGACCAAGGTTAGGGAACCTGGGTGACTAGGATAAAAGGGTCAGATAGTGTTAGGGAAGCTTGGGAGAGAGAGATGGGCTTAGTTTTAGACATGTCGCATCAGAGGTTTCGGGAGAAAGATGAGTTTAGTTTTGATCTGGGAATCATCAGCATGGAGATAATAACTGAATGCTTGGGAGATAATGAGATCACCAAATAAGAAGGTAGTGAGAAAAGAGACCCCAGGACAGAGTTTTAGGAAAAGGACATTCGTAGTTAGTGGGTATGATGTGGATGAAGATCAAACAAAAGTTTTTATAGTTAAGAGCAGGGACTGTTTCATTTTTTTTTTGTCTGTGTAATCCCTGCAGGTAACAGAGTGCATGGCACATAGTAGGTGCTTAATAAGGATGCCTGTTGATTGATTGATTCTGCTTTTTTTGAGAGGCAGTAAGGAGCTGTAGAAAGGATGCTGGATTTGGAAGAAGATTTTGTTTTGTTTGATTCGCAGATCTGTGCGACCTTGGACAAGTCATTCACCTCTCTGGGTCTCAGGTACCTCAACTATAAAATAAGGAAGTTGGACTGGATAACCTTTAAGGTCCCTTCTACCTGGAATTCTATGGTATTATTAGACTCTCTCCTGTTTCCCCATTCTCCATGCTCCCAGCACAGCCAGGCTGGCTCTTCACAGACTTCCCAAAGGATCAGAACCAAAGAATTTGGTTCCAAACTTCAGCACCAGGAATTGTTCTGCTGGCTTAAGCCTCCTCCCCTGCTTGTACTAATAGTGTGACAGACAACACTTAGCCCAAGGGAGGTGATAGGCTGGGCATCCCTCACTGTGTGCAAGGACATAGCCATTAGAGGATAACCAAGATCCAGACCCAGCATTCCAAAGAGGCCTTCCCTTTTTTTGCTGCCTCCTCACCCTCCCCAGATTCCATCCTAGACCCTCTTCTCTTCCTGTGGTGACCTCATGCCCTCTCATAACTTCGTTATCACATACATGCTTCTGGTTGTTTCTCTATCCTCAACCTCTCCCTAGACACCCAGTCCCCTATTTCCAACTGCATGAGATACTTCCCCATCTTGAAGAGCCCATGAGCCCCTCAAATTCTCGTGCTCCAGCCAGGAATATTGGAAAGACTGTGGAAAGTGGGAGAAGCTCATCATGACTAGAGAAGGGCAACTGTCCTTATTTTCCAAAAACAAAGGAGAGCCATCTGCCAACTGGAGGCCAGTGAGCTTGGTTTTGATTCCTGGGAAATTTCTAGAAGAGATCAGTAAGACGCTAATTGATGAATATCTACAAAGGGAAGCTGTGACTACATTCAACCGCTCAAATAGCTTCATTAAGAGCAGGTCACGCTAGACCAACCTCATTTCCTTTTTTGACGGGGTTACTAAGTGGATGGGTTTGGGGAATGCTGGGGATATAGTTCATCTGGATTTTAGTAAAGTTTTTGATAAATATCTCTTTTATTCACATGGGGAAAAAATGGAAGGATGTGGACTCGATGAAAATAGATGGATTCAGAGCTGACTGGATGACTATACTCAAAGAGTAGTTGTTAATGATTTAGTTAAGGTGTCTGGAGGGCTCTGGCAGAATCCTATAGGGATCTGTGACTTGCCCTGGGCTGCTTAATATTTTGATCAATGCTAAAAGCATAGATGGAATGTTTACCAAATTTGCAGATGACACTGTGCTGGGAGGGAGGCAAACACCAGACGACAGAATCAGGACCCAGAAATTTATTTATTTATTTTTGGCGAGACGATGGGGTTAAGTGACTTGCTCAGGGTCAAGCAGTTAGTGAATATCATGTGTCTGAGGTCGGATTTGAACTCAGGTCCTCCTGACTCCAGGGCCAGCACTCTATCCACTGCACCATCTAGCTGCCCCCAGAAATATCTTGATAAGAACAGGTTGAATCTAATAAGAAATTCAATGGGGATAATGGTAAAGTCCAGCACTTGGAAACAAAATATTGACTTCACCACTATGAGATGAGGATCCATGGTTAGACAGCAGTTTATCTGAAAAAAAATCTGGGGGTGTTGGTGGATTGCAAGCTCAATGAATCATCAGTGTGATGTGACAGCACCTTGGGCTGCATTAAGAGAGGTACAGCTTCTAAGAGGTTGATAGTCCCATAGTACTAGTCAGATCTCATCTAATAATAATAACTAGCATTTCTGTAGTGCCTACCACGTGCCAGGCACTGTGCTAAGTGCTTTATAAATATTATTTTATTTGATACTCAAAACAACGCTGGGAAGTAGGTGCTGTTGTTATCCCCATTTTATAGATGAAACCGATTAAGTGACTGGCCCAGGGTCACAGAGCTAGAAAGTGTCAGAGGTTGGATTTAAACTTAGACTCTCCTGACACCAGGCTTAGTGCTCAATCCACCGTGCCACCCAGGTACTCGTCTAGAGCATTATGTTCCATTTGGGAACCACAGTTTAATAAGGTCATTGATAGGCTGATAGGATAAAGGGCCTTGAGTCCATGTGTTTTGAAGATAAGTTGAAGAAACTGGGCATGCTTAGCTCAGAGAAGACTCCAAGGACATAGTAGCTACTGAAGGGCTATCATTAGACTTACTCCATTTAGTGCCGGAGGGCTGAACAAGGAGCAACGTGTAAAGCTTGCAAATAGACAACATTGGAAAAAACTTTCTAATAAGTAGAACCATCCCAAAGTGGAGTGGGCTTGCTTTTAGCGTGGCTCGTCCCCATTCCTTGGACATCTTCAAGCACAAGCTTATCAGGAAGGATTCCTTTCATACATGGGTTGGACTAGATGGTCGGTGCCCATTCCAGCTCTCAAATCCTGTGATTCTGAACTGCTCACCCCAATCCTGTCCTTCCTTCTAACTTCTGTATTAATACTCACGGTTCCACCACTTCCTCAGTCTCCCAGGTTCCTAATCTTGGAATTATCTCTGAAGCTTCTCTAGTCATACACTCTACACATCTAATATGCTGCCAAGTCTCGACACTGTTGCCTCTATAATTATCTCAGGCATCTAATCATTTCTACTAGGCCCCTCCACCCTACCTCTAGCCCTATAGGCCTTTGTCTCCTCTTACCTAACCTAGTGTAATAGCTTATTAAACTCATCTTCCTGCTTCACTTTTTTCTTCAATTCATCCTCCGCCCTGATGCCCATTAATCTTTCTAGTGTGTCTCATAATAATGAGACAACTAATCAAAGATCTGCAGGGACTCTCCAAAGTTTAAATTCCCAGTCCTGGCATTCAAGGCCTTCCACAGTCTGGCTCCAACTTACACATCTAGTTCACACACTCTCTATTGTAGCTAAACTTTGTGGCTATTTTCTCTCTCTATGACTTTGCTCATAGCATCCCCCATGCTTGAGATAGACTCCCGTTTAACTGGTTCTGTTCAGTACCTCTCCTTCAAGAGCCAGCTGCCCAACACCCCCATTGCTCCCTCCTCCAACTTGTCATAGTATCTTGCTTCACTCTCCTTTACCCCACTAAATACTACCCTGGACCGTACTTATTTGTCTCGAAGGAGTATCCCCTCAATTAGTAAGCTATTGAAGGCAGGGCATGTCATTTGCACTCTCAGAGGCCTAGTTCCTTCAATGCCTTGCCCATAGTAGGGGCTCAGTGAATATTTAATGAATCACATTGGATTGAATTGAAAAGTTAACATTTTAATGGTCAGGGCTTTGTGGTTCTGTGAGGTTGGATGGCTGTTCTACCCTTTTCTACTAATGAATCAGAGACTGTTTTCTAAAGGATAAGGACTTTGACAGAGGCTTAGCAAGGTTGACCCAGATCTGTGGAGCCCAAAAGGAGACAGTCAGAGGCTGACCTAAGAAAAAAGGGTTCACTGAAGGAAGATGAAGAGCCCAAGCTAAGGTGCTCACTGGTGCACAGGTGTAGAAACTCAGTCCACTACTGGTGACCATCCCTTACCATGAGTTCCTCTTCCCTCTAGCTTACAGCCTCCTAGAGGGCAGCCTTGTCTGACCTCACTTAGCTAGGGCTCAGAAAAGGTGAGAAAGAGGTCAGAGGTTTAGGGAGATTAACTTTGCCGAGGACTTGACCTCCCAAAGCCATTCTATTCATAGAAGGGCCCCCACCAAGCTCTTGAAAAATCACCTCAGATGATACTCATTGCTTTTACCCACAAGCTTCTTTGGCAAAAATTCAATCAGGCCTGTCTCAGAGCTAACCCGTGGGAGCCAGGAAGGACAGGCATGTCATCTCTCTTCACTGGAAAAGTCCTGATAAGGAACAACAGTGAGGGGGATGAGGTGGACACACAGCAAGAGCTGAGCCTCAGGCTGGACAACAGGGTGCTGCTGCTGTATTTTGGGGCTGGGGAGTGCCCTCAATGCCAGGCCTTTGCCCCCATCCTCAAAGACTTCTTTGTGAAGCTCACAGATGAGTTCTACGTGAACAGGTCCTCACAGATTGCACTGGTATACATCTCCCAGGACCAGACTGAAGAGCAACAGGACACATTCCTCAGGGATATGCCCAGGAAGTGGTTGTTCCTACCATTCCAGGATGAGCTGAAAAGGTAAGCCTAGCTGCGGGCCCTTGCTAGGGGAGGGAGAGCCATGTAAGGACTCCAAGCTGGGGCAGGTGGCAGAGCCTTTCCAGAGTGGCCCCTGCCCCGACCAGTGCTGCCTGCCCTGTGCCCCTTCATTGCCCAATATTAGAACCCCGGGACCCCCAGCAGAAAACCCAGGAGACAGAAGCTTCCTGATGTAAGGCTGCCAAAATTAGATCTTTTATCAAGGTGGGCTGAATAACAACAAGGAATGGAGAACAGAAAAGAAGCCAATATTTAACAATTTATACCCTAGGGCCAAGGGATTAGAACCTGGGGGTATCAGCCTCTCCCCTGCCGTTCCCATCATGGTCCATACTTGAGCACTGAGGCCTCTGTATTTATGGCCTAGTAACCTAGGGCAGGTCTAGCCTCTTCCCTGCACTGCCCTACCTACTACCTCTTAAGAGACATCCCACAGAGGCTATGCTCCCCACCTCCCTTAAAAGAGCAGGAATAGGGACCCAGAATCCCTCCTCCCTTCGCAAGTAGCAGCTCTCTCCTTTAAGAAGTAAAAGGGAAAGGGGCCCCTCTCCCAGCCTCAGGACCTGTTCTAAGAAGAGGGGGAAGGGTTTCTGTTGTAGTCCAGTCTTCTAGTCCCACTCTGTCTCGACCCCTGAACACTGAGGCCCCACACTGACTTGCTCACAGGGACCTTGAGCAGATGTTTGCTGTAGACCATGTCCCCATGGTAGTTGTGCTGAAGCCTAATGGTGAGGTGCTCACCAGGGATGCTGTGGAAGAAATTGGCCGACTTGGGCCTGCCTGCTTCTGGAACTGGCAGGAGGCCTCTGAGGTCATAGACCGAAACTTCCTAGCTGCTGAAGATTTTGATGACTTGGCACCCAGGAGCCTCACTGACCCCATCCGACGACTCAAATATAAGATTGAGAAGGAGAGTTCGAGAAGCCACACCTCACAAGATGGTGAGGGAGAGGAGGAGACCGGAGACGGGGCAATGTTCTGAGCCTGCTGAGTGGGCTCAGAAATGGGTCCTGGTTGGAAGATGTCAACCCTATAGGAAGTTGCCCACTGACTTTTAGCTGTTTACGTCCCTACAAAAACTTGCAAAAACAAAGAGGCAGGAAAGACACTGCACTGAGGTCCAAGCAGTAGATCCACCTTGTGGTTGAACCCTGAAATCTCAGGGACCATGCTCCCTTGCTCCTAGTGGACTGCCTCACATTCCTTCCTGCCTAATGTCCCTCCTGCTCTTCTCAGGACTGGGGAACTTCCTCTGGCCCCTAGAGAGACAAGACTATTCCCAGGACGATACCACCGGAGCCTCTGGGTTGGAGGACTGACACTCCAACTCCAACCTTTAACAGCTCGGTACGCGGCATCATCTGCAAGAGTTGCCCAGACCATTCTACATTCCATTATCTCTAGCAATCACCCCACCGCCATTCTAAGATGAACTGAGACACTAGGAGAGTGAGGAACACGAAGTTGTGGGGAACAGAACCTCAGAGTTGCAAGGGACCTTAGTGGCAATTTAATTCAACCCATACCCGAACCAGAATCTCCTGGACAACGTACCTGCTAAGTGATTTTCTAGCCTTGGAGGACCTTCTCCAAGGGGGAGCCCATCACCTCCCAAGGCAGCCCATCCCACTTGGGGAGAGCTCTAATTTTCAGGAAGCCTTTCTCTACCTGAAGTTGATGCCTCCTTGTGACTTCTACACTTTGCCCCTCATTTGGCCCTCTGGGGACAAGCAGACCAGATGTCTATGAATAGCCCTTCATGTACCTGAAAGGTTCTCATTTCTCCTTACTGCATTGAATCTTCTTGTGAGTATGGACCAGAAGGAGAAGCTCTGCTCTCTCCATCTTGATGGGTGTCAGGGGGGAGGGCACAGCAGGCTATCAAAGATAGGAAACAATGGGATCAAGAAGAAGTCTTTATTAATAAGAGCAATTGAGCCAGTCCTGCAGGCTTATCACCAGGAAAAAAAAGTCCAAGGCACACATTTTGTTCCCTGTCTGCCCAGAGCTGTATCAGCTCAAGGCCCTCTGGGGCAAGGAACCCTCTGAGATACTTGTGCCAGAGCATAACCTCTGTACTTGGCAGAATAGTTTCAGGACCCCTCCTTTCCCCACACCTTCACCAGGCACCATCAATGGCAAATTCTCAGGTTCCCGTTAGGGACTAAGTTGCCTGTCCCCAAGATGCTGTGACAGGTTGTAGGCTTCCAGACATCAGAAGGGATCATGGTTTGTGTAGTGTCACCCAAGGGGCAGAGAGAGCAAGAGGAAGAAGACGAGAGGCACTGTGGTCAGCAATGCACCGGCTGTGCCCATCCCAGAATCTTGAAGGCTGACTCCTTCTCCACTGGGAGTTAACAGACACTGGGAGGCAGGCGGGCTGCTGCTGTCCTCTCCACCACAAAGCCATAGCTATACTGGAATGACATATAGAATGAGAGATGTGGCAGCTTCATGGGCAATGGATATGAGAACTCTAATCTCAGCTCCCACCTCCCAGAGAAGACCTCACTTGCAGGGGCTAAGGGGTTTCAGGGGGTAGGGAAGGAACCTTGTAGACAGGACTATGGGACAGAGGGCCAAAGGGCCTACCTCCTCCTCGATGTCAGCCAGAGATTTGATGGTCAGGTCAGCAAAAGTAGAGAAGCCCTGAAGGAAAGGTCACAGGAGAGTCAACCCTAGGGCAGGACTCCAACTTTTGGAAACACCAGAGGACACAAGAAAACCCAAAGCCATCACTAGGCTCTTTGGTATGTGAGTTACAAAGGCCAGTGACCGCACCCTAACACCCCTCACACCCCATCTCCCAGTACTCATGCTCAGGCCTATCTTTCAAAGCCCCCAACCATCCCCAGAGTCCTCCACTCTCTTCCATACCTCTCATATCCTCCCTGACACTCTCTGCACCCACCCCATCTCGAGCTTCTTTACCCATCATCCACCCCCAATGGCATCCAAAGGTCCATGGAAAGTGCTGTTTTATGGAAGCAGGGGAAAAGGAAAGGGGTTACATGGCATGGGGGTGGGTCTGGGGAGGCACCTCATGGCACAGGGAGTGTCGGGGGTCTGACAGTGGCATTAGTGTCTGTTTCATGGGATGGAAGAGTTTAATGTAAAACTGGGGCAAGGGAAGTATCTCAGCATGAGTGCCCATCAGTATATATTGTTGTGAGGAAAGCACTTTCAAAATTGTCAAGTGCTATCTGTTCATATGAGGTATCATTAGCACTTATTACTGAATAATAAATGCAACCATGTAGCTTGCTTCACTCCTCGGGGCCCACTCACCATCGGACCATTGTCTTTGCCTTCAAACTTGGGGTGCAGGATGAAAGGAACCCCATCCATGGCTGAGAAGAAAGATTACCAATGAGTGGAAGGGTAATGGGATGAAAATCAGAGCTGCCTCCCATTCCCCTGAAGAAATTAAGGGCTGGCCTGAGAACCAGGTAACCAGAGGATGCTGGAGCTGGAAAGGACCCAAGATATTCTCTAGTCTAAACCCCTCATTTTACAGAAGAGGAAAGTGAGGCACCACGGGGGAGGGAAGAGTTACAAAGTTGGCAAGCAGCAGAGCCAAGACTAGAACTCAGGTTTTTCTCAGTCTAGGGGTTTTTTCTTCTATACCTTGTCAGCTCAGCTACTATCCAGACCCTTCTCTTCTCAATGCCTCCATGTCCCTATCTCTCCTCTGCTCCTTTAAAGTTGAGTAAGAATGCCAAGTTCGGTTTACCTGAGATGCCATACAGACTAGAAGCCTCGTAGATGGAATCACTCCTCCTGATGGTACCTTGTCTTGAGCTCAATGTGGATGGCTTCTCTGAGCTGTCACTGTGGGATGCCACAATCGATGCCCATGTAAAGTAGCAGGGGTGGTCACCCCTCAACCTCCAGGAAAATGTTGCTTCGTGGTCCCTCCTCCCCTCCAGCCCAGGTTTTGGTTGCCTCCCCACCTCCTGTCAGTCTCACCTGGACTTATCTAGTGAGAGGCCACTTATCCCCAAGCTGATGTTCCGAGGCTTAGGAAGGGGCTTGGGCTTGGAGACTTTACCTTTCTTACACCAAACTGCAAAGCCACCTATTTCCCTAGAGGGTAGTAAGACATGTTTTAGAAGGAAATCTATCATTTATAACCAAGGAAGGTCACTCCTTGGGGACCCTGGGGTGAGGGTTCACTGCCTCCTAGGACATGTGGGTGAGGATGTGTGTGTGTGTGTGTGTGTGTGTGTGTGTGTGTGCGTGTGTGCATGCGTGCACACATGTGGAGATGGCTAAAGGATCAGTTGTCTAGATGTGTGAGGAAGGCTGGTGGGGTTACAGGGCTGTGTATATGATGTTAGCCAGGGGAAGCTGGTGTGGACAGGGGCTTTAGGGACAACTCTCTACCCAACACGCATGTATCCTGGCACCACTCTGCTCTTGCCACTCAGCCGGACATCAAACACAGCCGTATCAGCCACTCCAAGAGGGACCAGCTTCATGCAGACCCGTTTCTTTTTTGATACAGATGCCTCTGGGCAGGAGGGGAAGGAGAATAAAGGTCCATATCTCATTTGACTAGGTCAACTGAATCCCTGACTAGCTGTGGTACCTACCCTCCCATCCAGATATGTGACTAGAACTCAGGATTCACCATAAAGCTATCACTAAACAAGCTACAAGTATGCACATGCATCACACACACACACACACACACACACACACACACACACAAACCTAGTAAAGAGAATGACCTTACTGGTATCTAGGAACTCGCTGATATAGGTGAAGCCCATGGGAAGAGGTGTTTTCTCATTTAGGATCTGGATATCTGTGACCACATTTTCCTGGAGAGTCTGTGAAGGAAGCAGAGAGGAAGGTAGTAATGGTCACTGCAAATGTTGAAAGGAGATCCAGGATCAGCCACCACAGGTATGGGTGTACCCTGTGGGGGGAAGACTTCTGATGGGGGCAGCAGAGTGCCCTGGAGAGCTGTAATTCAGAATTACTTGGCAAATTTAGGTGGAAAGGAGGCACAAGATGAAGGGCAGTGTGAGTAAAGAAAGGTCACCCCAGGACAGACGGGACCCTGGCAACTTGGACCTACATAAGACCATGCACAGGAGGAGACGAAGAGAAAGAAGCTGCCACAGGGATTAAGAGGCACGTCCTTGTATCAGTCCTTGTATCCCCCACGCTAGTTACATCTCTGGAGCTATGCCAAGAGTGCTGGTGTAGGAGACATGTGTGTTCAAGGCCCAGCTCTGATACTTACTGTTCAGTAACCTTAGACCAGGGGTGGGGAATCTGCAGCCTCAAGGCCACATAAAGTCCTCTAGGCCCTCAAGTGTGGCCCTTTGACTGAATCCAAACTTCACAGAACAAATCACCTTAATAAAAGGATTTGTTCTGTAAAACTCGGACTCAGTCAAAAGGCTGCACCCAAGGCCACGTGGCCTTGAGGCTGAAAGTTTTCCACCCCTGCCTTAAACAATCACTTCACCTCTCTAATTTCCCCATCTATAAAATGAGGATAATAGCTGTATTACCCACCCATGACTTCTGTGGGGAAAGCAGACTGTAAACTTCAAGGTATGATGAGAACAGGAGCTCATGTTATTATTATTCCTTACCTCACCACTGTCGCCACTGCCAGGCCCAGTTTCCCTAGGACTGAGGCACAGGAAGTAGCCAGACTTTTGTGCAAATCCCTTTCCAAAGTTGGCAGGTGTTCCCTCCACTGTGCTTGTGATCTAGGGGTCAGAGAAAGCAAGTCACTGACACGGAGCATGGGGGGCACGGGCACTAGTGGCCCAAGACCTGGCCCTGACCCTTCTCTTGGCTCCCCCCCTCCCACCAGCCACAGGCCCCAGACATCACCATCTCCCCACTTCCTGCCTTGGACAAGAATGTTGAGACTTGAAGGCTCTGGAGTTAGACTTGGAGAAGCCCATGAAACCACAGGGGGAGGGCAAGGACAGTCACATCGGGGCCACAGGGGCTGGATGAGATCAGGGACACTGAAGCTGGAGGAGCCAGGGGTGGGAGATCAGTGATGGAAGGGGTGGAGTGCTGCGGGAGGATGGAACTCAGAGGGCTTGGGAAAAAGGCAGGGACAGGCACTGAGGCTGGGCGAAGTGGGATGAGTGAGAACAAGGGGCCTGAGGACACAGAGGGAGAGATCCAGGCAAAGAATACTAGGAGGAGGGAGAAGAAGAGGGGAATAGCAAGTGAGGATAGGGAGGTGAAGTGTGGGGGGCAGCCCCACCTGGAGGGATCCGGAAAAGAGGACATGAGGGGATTGGGAGAGAACTGGGATATGGGGCAGAGGAGCACAGGGAGAGGATGAAGATACAAGGCAGGTGTGTACAGTGTGAGGGAGGGGGGCAAGGACAGGCGCTCTGAGGCTGCAGAGGAACAGGGGTACCCTGGAGGAGGCTCAGGGGCACACAAAAGGCACTGAGAGGGAAACCACAGGGACACGGAGGTGGGGGAGGCGAAGAGCAGGGACACGGGGGCGGGGCCCCCAAGGACGCAGGGGGGAGGCACAGAGAAACCGAGGCCGGAGGAATCGGGGAAGGCACAGAAAGGCCAGGCCGGGCCGGGCTCCACTAGCTCACTCACCGCGCTGTAGCCCCGGGGCGGGACAGCCGAAGCCAAAGCCCAGGCCAGGCCAACTATCGGGACCCCGTCAGGGGCGGGCCCGGGATCCATCCTAGGAGCTGCGGATCGAGGCGAAAGGAAGCAGAACGAGGGGTGTTAGGGCTGCCGAAGCGAGGGGCTAGGGCCGCGGAGATAACCAAGCCCGCAATCCCGCCCCCGGCAGCCGCCCACAGCTTGCCGGACTTCGGACCCGCCGGCGGCTGTCTACAGAAACTACAGGAACCAGAAGTCAATTCGGCGAAGTAGGTGCGCCTGCGCAAACAGTCTTCCCATAAATTTCCGGTGCAAAGCCTGCGAAGTGTGGCACACAACCCGAGCCAAACAGTTGATGTCATTCCTCAAAACACTCGTTCAGAAAGCACGATTCGGGCATGAAGCGTACTGCGCATGGGCAAATTCCTGGGGAGCGTTGACGTGTGAATGACGTTTACGAAAAGCACTGCATTACCCAGAGATACCAGCTGGACTAGACCGGCTGCTTAACCACAGATCTCCCACCCTTCTCTGGCATCCCGGGCTCAGGGCGGGCGGAGTAGCTTTGTGGGAGGGAGAGTAAGTAAGTCAGAGCAAGTCAGAGCAGTTCTGGCCCGAGGAATCAAAAGTTTCTTGGAATAATTTGTTCCAACTGGTTATCAGGTACTCATCACCTCTTGCAAGCTGCACAACTCCAACTGCTTGCCAGTTTGTTTCTGCCTCCAATCCTGCCCTTCCATCTCTCCTCCACACAGCTGCCAAAGAGACAGTTCTAAAGCACTACACCCCTGCTCAGGAAGCGTCAGTGGCTCCCTGTTGCCTATAGGACAAAATACAGACTCCTCTGACATTTAAAGCTTAGCCTACCTTTCCAGGCTTATTACAAAGGACTCGCCTCCAGATTCCATTAGTCCGATGGGACCTTTCTTTTCCAACTTTCTTACAATGAATGCTCCCCTCACCTCTCCACCGACCCTATCTCCATCCCGATGAGGGATTACCCAGAATCTCTGCTTCACTCAGAACCTTAGGCCAGACACACTCACTGTTGGTCATCAGAGGTAGGCAAGGCCCCTTCAAGCCTTCTCCTATACTCTACTGGGCTGGCATGGGTTGGTGGATTGTCCTTATTTCTCGAAGAGGACTAAAATGACGTCACTATGTTGAGTCAAGTTATAGCCTGTCCAACTGTGGCTGATCAGACCAACAGGAGCTTGGAGTGTTCTACCAGAGATGGGGCACAAATAATCCATGTGCCCATTTGGGGCATGACTTCTCACATTATCTGAATTGGGAGTCAATAATTTATAATCCTTCCACAGAACCCTGCCTAGGTCCCAATCTAAGCCACTCCTCCCCTCCTCTCCAGGGAACCCCACATCAAACCTGAACCAGACAACCCACCTCCAGACACGAGTCTTTTGCCCTGTGTCCACCTGGATCGAAGCCACCAGCACAGGACCTCTTTGCTTCAGAGATTTCTCCATTTGATCCTTCCATGTCCCGCTAACTATTGTCCTACATCTCTTCTGCCCTTTGTAGCTAAACTCCTTGAAAAGGCTGTCTACAACACATGCCCTCACTTCCCTCTCCTTTTCCTCTCTTCTTAAACCCCTTACAGACCAGCTTCTGACTTCATCCTTCCACCAAAACTGCTCTCTCCAAAGGCAGCCATGACCTCTTAGTTGCTACGTCCATTGACCTTTTCTCAATCCTCATTCTCCTTGACCTCTCTGCAGGCTTTCATATTGTTAATCAGTCTTCTTCTTGATACTCTCTTCTCTCTAGGTTTTAGAAACACCACTCTCTCCTTGTTTGCCTCCTACCTGCCTGTTCTCTCTCTGGCTCCTTTCCTGGATCCTCTTCCAGATCATGCCCTCCAACTATAGTGTCTCTTTAGGGTTCTGTCCTGGGCCCTCTTCTTGTCTCCAAGAAGTAGTCTTCACTGGCTTATCTTATCATCTCCCTTGAATTTAATTACCATCTCTGTGCTGATGATCTCAAAATCCACCTATCCTGCCCCAAACTCTGCTGTCCTCCAATCTTGCATCTCCAACTGCCTTTCAGATTTCTCAAACTGGATGTCCCGTACACATCAATATACCCGAAGTGGACGCATCTTTTCCCCCTAAACTCTTCCCCTCTCCTGC